TGGTGGTGAGGGAGATTATCATCTCTCACCAGTCATCTTCTTCCTCAAAATTATCCAATAAGAATAACCAGGTACCACGTGATAGGTGGACCCTGGTTGAACAAAAAGAGACTGGTCGTGTAAGTGGTTTTGTTACAATATTATTATCATTAATTTGTCAGTAATTTCTTGACTTTAAAAACTTTGTGATGGGAAATCTTAATTCTAATCACTATCTGTAGTGTTCAATTATCTCGATGACTCAAAATCATGAGTAAATTACTCTGATTGGTTGCTGATGGGAATATTCAATCTAACTAGTATATTAATTTGAGTTTATGATCTTTTGACTTGTGCTAGTTAATGACTAATCTTAGAATCGAATTCAATATACTTAGTGTAAAGGTACATCCATCTGATATTTATTGGTCTCGTTATCAACGACCAGTGACAGTAACTTATTCATCAAAAGGTTATAATTACTCGAAGTGAAAATAAGAATGGAAACATAAACTGTGGTATCTCAATAATTTAGACTGATAAATTTATCTAACCCAAACCGATGGTTTTAAAACATGAAATAGACCTCATAACGACCGGTTGGGACAGAGTTTGAGAGTTCATAAAAGCCTTCAAAAGGATTTGTCATTGGATGTCCTTGAATTTGACATATGATAATTGTATCGCTCAAACTCCTATAACTCGACTCTGGAGTCTGAATACCTAAAGACAAAAAAGTTATTTAAGAAAAACATGTTGGAAACTTGGTGAAATGCCCTTTTATTCCTTCAAAATTAGAGCCATGATGAAATCGTTAGTTTTAGAATAATTTAATAAATTGTTTCCTCTACGCAGCAAATATTAGTAACAATTTAACATTAATTTGTTAAACAATGATAATCAACCAGTGCTATCATCATGATCAATATCTTATATTACTCAGCATCCACGGAAGGTGTAAAAAAAGTTCTGCGTAATTTTTTCTTCTTATTATTCAATACACTAAGATTAATTATCTCACCTTTCATGGCTTATGGTTTATGTTTATATGAAAATAAAAAAATGATATTGAATCAGATTTGGTAGAATCAGGGTGAAGGATTTTTTTGCATTTTGAAACAATCAGAACTTTCTTTATCTCTTTTATCTTCAATTCTGAGCTTTATCATGATACTCGAAACTTTGTTGATTATCATATTGAAGTGAATATATTAAAATATATTACAATTAATAATCATGATAGTTTTTTTCACCTATCAAAAGAAAAACGCTAAATGAACAAGAACTTTTTTCCACTATCATGAAAATATCCAATTCGTAACATTTATGATTATGATCAACTTGCTTTTGTTCAGTTAATTTGTAATTTGTAAATGCAAATATCATGAAATATTAATTCACAAAAAGTAAAAAATTCTGATTCTTTTTCCTCAGTAACTCTCACCACCCACCTAACACCCTGCTTATCTTGTTGTAAATTCAATTTCAATTGAATGAATTCAAGCTCTAAACAACTGAATGAACAGGCATCATTTCCGTTTCCGTCTCATAAGGATAATATGATATAATAAAATGAGTGAAGCTTTAATTTAGTGACACAACTAACCATTGATGATGACTTGACATTGATAACATGATTCAGTAATTAGCAATTACATTATTTGATTGAGTTTCATTTTGAATACCTAATCAGTTTCAATTTAGTTGAACACAAACCTTCCTGAGGTTTTAATTGGTAATTATGATTTGATTTGATTTACTTCTTGACAGGCAAAGATTTGATTGTGTAATCCAAAAATTGGTGAAAAATTTTGTTACATGAATTAAACCAGAACTTTTTTATCTCAACTCACAAGGAATCAATTAAATTAGATTTAGTTATTAGTACTCAATGTTATTAATATCATCATTCGATCATGAAACTGATATAATAATGAAATAATGAACAGGAACAACACAATTGAATGAACAATTGAAATGAAATTGGATAAGTATTATTATAAAGAGAATGAGGAGATGAGAAAAGTTCTGACCATTGAATCGAAATTGAATTTCCATTAGAATTCATTTCCAATCTGAATTAATGGAAACAAAAACATATTGAAAATAAATAACAGTAAATTCATTTGTGACATTGAGCAAACTGTTGTCCCAATTCAGTGCTCACCATGAATATTATCGCGATGATGATGATGATGATAAACTGACAACAACTCATTGTGATAGATGAAAAGGTTTCCTTTGATTTAGATATTATTATTGATTTTCAATATTTGGAATAGAAGATGAAATATTTCCAATAGATTTTCCAATGAAAACTCCATTACCATGAAGCTCATGAGTAGAAAAACTTTTAAGAAAAAAAAGAGTAAAATAAAATTCCAATGAAGGCAAAAACATGATTGACATCCAGTCGATAATTGAATCAATTTCATCATTGCAACAGAATCAAATTAAATCAGAGTAACTTTATTTTTATCCATCAAAATGAAATTAATATCATGTATATACATGGAAAGTGATAACATATTGATAAGATGATGAGACAGGGAGGGAAATGCTTGCTTATCATGAGCTCAACATCCACCCACTCTGATGAGCTTTATTGAATACAAATATTTACTTCATGAGATGAACTTACCTGTCAGTGAATCAATTTGAATGATATTTGATTATTAACATTAAGGTAACTTTTTCTTATCCTCCTCCTACACCTTCACCCTCCTGTCAGCACCCACCTCTCGGTAACTTATCCACTTTACCTCTACAGGTATTTAGAGCTGAATAATTCAACAAAAGATTCCCATGAGGAAGCAGGGTAATAATATTAGGTGAAATCGATTTGAGGAGGAAAAGGAAATAAAAAAACAAGATAAATTTTTGATTAAATTTGAATCTAAAAACAAGAAGAGCTCTTAAAATCTTAATAGACTCAATTTACGTACTTGCTAAATATTGAGATAAAAGTTCAGTTCATGATTGATTCAGATTCTAACGGTGAGTAACATGATACATATAAACAGTAAATATTATATGAACTTCAATCAATAAACTTGATCATTATGATTAATATTAAATATCCTAAAATAGTTCGAGGGTTAGAACTTTTTTTTGCTCGTCAAACTTTAATCGTCAGAAACATGGAGATAATATTTCATGGTGATGCTCAAAATGATTGGAAGGAGAAACTTTTATCGTCTAATTTAATTAAAAAAATGATTCAGTTCATGATTAAATGATAGACAAAGTTTAAGTTGATTAATTTTGTGAATCAATAGTTTGCTTGATTCTCCAGCTGAAATCACCATGGATTATATTCAATCCTAAATATTTCATGAAAACATGAGAGGTTATTTGTTATTCTATTGTATTGAAAAGGATAATATAATGAAATCTATTGATTAGGCTTCCATAATCAATGGAGATGATGATAAATTATCATTATTAGGTTACCGATAATATCATTCAACTTTTACTTTCTATTCAAAGGGGATCAGCTGATGTGATCGATTGATTTTCATATCGAGTGAAAATACTTGGAAAAGTAAAAGATCATTTTTAGTTTTTCCCCTACAGTTTCCCTCCCATTTAGTATAAACATCATTAATGTGATGACCAGTTAAAAGTTAATCAAGTTGACCAATTAGCTGGACAATAAATCGCTCAACCATTATGAGTGTGATACAGTTAACTTTTCCCCCTATGCTAATGGTGATTATGATAAACAAAATGATAACAATACTTTTTATTGTTCGATAATTTGTTCTGATTGTTGACCAGCAACAATCAGTGGTCAGCAATTCATTTTATTACCATCATTTAGTTTTCCTTAGGAATAATATAAGAGATTTTGTACTTTTCTCTCTTCGATTTCATGTTTATCTTCATGAAGTCTTTATTTTTCTCAAAAATCTCCTGAAACTGTTCAGTTTCATCTAATAATAAAAGGTTGATGGAAATGTTTCATTGGTCAATATTGGTCAAAATTCATAAGCAAGAAGAATCCAAGTAATAATAACCTAAGGAAATGATTCTTATCATGAAGACAAATTCTGAGAATTTTTTTAGTCTTCCTTTTCCCTTTTGAGAGTAAACATTTATATACTAATATTATATATCTGTGAGAGTGGACAGTAGATGGACAATGAAGGAAGAGGAAGTAAAATGCTGAGGGAAGTAAAAATGTTGAAAGAAAAACCCATTGAAGAAAGAATCTGCTGAAAAGAAGAAGAGTCTTCAGAATTCATGATAAAAAAAGAGAATGAAATTAGAGTTGAAAAGTTTCGATAAATAGGGAAAATTTTTCCTTCGAAACTTTTAAAAAGTTAATTATATTTAAATGTCCAATTTCAATTTCCACTTAATTCTCTGCCCTCATCCTATTAGCGATAAGTTAACAGTTAATGTCAACAAAAGTTGAACAGGGAATTCAATTGATGATTCATGATGAAAATGAGGTGGATGAGAAGGTGGAACTTGTTCATTTCTTTCAAAATGTTCAATCTATTGAACTAAACTCATGGTGAACAGAACTTCCTTCAGTTAGCCCACCGTTCACATATAATTTACCTGAACAAGGCGAGAGAGAGAGAGAGAGAGAGAGAGAGAGAGATGAAAACAGTTCATTCTAAGTGTACTTATCTCCTTCACATGATAAACATAATGACCTGTGAGCTTTAATCATGATAATCAGAAATTGTGAAGATGAGACTCATTAGAACTCAAAACTTGAGTTGATTGTTTGTCGAGTAAATTTTTTAGTAAATTACGATTCCAATTAGAAACAATTGGCCGCGAAACAGTTTCACTTTAATTATCTCATTAAATTTAATTATTCTCTTGGTAATCGTTAAAAATAGTTTTTAAATTATGGAAGAAAAATATTTACACTTTTATTTTCCATGAAATTGGATTAGAACAAATTTTTTTTTACGAAAAATTTATTTTCCATTTTGATCGCTAGATGGCGTTGGAATGTAGAATAAGAGAGAAGAGTGAGAAAAGAGAGAGAAAAACTTGTTCTCTTTTCATTTGATTCTCTTCAAGTGAATGATTAACATCTCGGTAGTTTTAATTTGACTTTTTTGTTTCTCTTTTTACTTTTGTTGTTTTATTCTTATTCTCTTCTGTGTGTGTCTGTCAGTGTCTGTGTTTTATTGCTACATCAATACAATAACAACAACAAAACTAACCTCCAAATGCTTCAGGATTCAAAAGGTCGATCCCTTGTTGGTAAATCATCAACCTTGACAACCACAGGAACACCGCCAACCACCAACACCCTTTCACCCTCAGTATTACAACCTAAAGGTTGGAGGACTAATCAGTGTAAAACACCAAATCCAAGTCGAACATTGGAAATTTTCTCATCCCTTCAAAATGGTTTAACAGGATTTATCAATTTAACCCAAGGAGATATTGATTTACACCGATTACTTCGTAATTCAATTGAAAATGGTCTATATCTTAATTCGGCCCAGGTAAGTGAAACAGAGAAGAGAAAAAGAAAACAAAATCTCTTTTTAATATTTTTCCCTTTTCCCGTCACCAACACAAACTAATTTTCTTAAAAAAAAAGAGAATAGAAAGAAAAAGAACAAAAAAATTCTATTCTCTCTTTGTTTCCCATTTTCCCTCTCAAGCTTTTTTTCCACCTTAAAACTGCCAAGTGCTTTTTTCTCTTTTCTTCTCTTACAATGTAAAAAAACACTCTCTTTCTCTTTCTCTCATTTTCTTTTCCTTCCCCTCTTACCTTCTCTCTCTCTCTCTCACTCTTACCTTTCCACCTCTTTCTCTCTGTGTATCTTCTTCTCCAATTTCTTCATCGTCTCTTTGGTTTTTTCTCTTCTTCAAACCTGCTTAACATCCACACACACACACACAATCACAATAACAATCACATAATTACTAATAATCACTAACAATCTCACATCGTATAAAGGGAAAGCTTTACGAGCTCACAAAGGTGAGATGGATGAAATTTTCCAAAAAGAAAATAGCATCTCATTATCTTGTTTGTGTCTCTTTCATTTGCAAGAGAAAAAACCTAACCTATTATTTGATTAATTATTTGTTCCCAATAATAAAAAAAAACGATGCATCTAGTTGTCAATTCTTTTTATGTTATATCATCTCCATTGAAGTTTTCTCTCTCTCTCTCTCTCTCTCTCATTCTACCTCTTTACTATGGTTTCCATTTATTTTTCCTACCTGAGCATTGATATGAAACTCTTGTTTTTTTCCACCATCATCCCATCAATACATTATCTTCATCATGGTGATGATGATGATGATAGTTTATTATCCTGACTCTTTCACATTGATTATGTCCAAGAATAATTCTATCTGTGTATTTACACTGAAAATCTTTCCCCCTGTTTGTATATTATACAATTTCCATTGAATGACAATTTTATTTTTCTTTTCTATTTTCACTTTTTTGCTTCTTCTTTTCCTTTACTAAATATAAATAGCAGTAAATAGTCATATGGTTTTCTGTTTATCTGCTTGTAAATAGAAAAACTTTTTTTTTCTTTACATTATTCACCCATCGTAGTAAATGCAACTAACCGATAATAATAATAATAATCGTCCATGGATTTTTACTATTATTGATTATGTTTTATAAATCATTTCTTTTTGATTATTATTACCTTATTTACCTAATATAATTAATCTCTTTCTCTCTTTCTCTCTCTCCCTTTCTCACCATGTTACCATTTCCTTATGGATTATATAACAGCAATGTAAAAATGGCGAACGATATTTGAAACGTTTAGAATTTGAATTGGCTAAACTGGAAGAGCTTAAAGACCAATATGATGTCCATCTTAAAATGCGAGAAGGTAAATGATCAAAGTTAATCAATTAATCATTTTGAAAATTTTATTGTATAATATTGAAAAACAAGTTATACTTATAATTAATAATAATATTAACATTTTCCAATAGCTTGTGAAAAATAATCAGTAGGTAAAGTTAATTGTTGCAACTTTAAATTGGAAAAGCAAATTATCAGACAAAATTAATGCTAAATCATCAATCATTGATTTTCAGTTGAACCTTTTTTTTTCAAATCATTTTTCAGGAAGAGAAAATAATTTCAACTAATAAATTATCATTACTATTATAGACAATTGGTAACAATATACATTTAAAAAGTATAACAATTTGTTTTTAATTGTTTACAATCATTAAATTGGTAATGTACTTGATTTTTTATCCCAAAATATCAATAATTTCAAGTGTGTATATGTGTGTGTGTGTGTATGTGTTTGTTTATATGTGTATTAAACTAAATTTAGTCAAGTATTATTAATATAAATTAAGGTATCTCCTTAGTCAACAATTTACAAATTATGCTAATACAATTAGCAATACTATTTATTATTGACAGTTAATTGTATTATCTTGATATTATTTTTTATTACACTATTTTGTGATTATTATTATTATGATTATCGTAAAATTTTATAATAAGATGGTAAATATTTAGTTTAATAAAGAAAACTTTCCTTTACCATTATCATTATACTCTTATGTAGTGATAGAATCGAGGTCAGAGGTTAAGTATTGGGTAGGATAGAAAATCCTTCTTCATCTAATAGTCATTCATTATCATTACAATACAATTGCGAAAAAAAAAATTCGTAATCATAATAATCAAAAATATTTGGTACATACACTCACATATACATGTAGATATTTTTTTAGGTGTGTCAATGTTTTGCCAGGTAAATTCACACATACATATTATGATTAAATAACCCAAACTGACAACCATGATTGTAATAATATAACATTTATTACAATCGTTTACCTTTGCTGTTATTTTATTTTTTGTTCACAATTTGTCATCATCAACGGCAAATTGATATAATATCCTAACCATTATCATTACAATTATCATATTTCCTTTGTTGTTGTTGATAGCAACCAATTCAATTGAGAGATAAATTGAGCTGCATCATCAACAATAAACTTTAAATTATCATCATCATCATCATCATCAGAACAATATTGCCAATGTACATTGCAAAATATTATCAATGATAATACACATACAACTCAATCCTAAGGAAATCAATGTTACATTAATCATTTAGAGTTAAATGAATTGCAGAAAAGGCAAAATCAACTGATTTAACATCATAACAACTTTTCATTTCCATGTTGTGATTGTTGTTTGTTGAATCAATGGGCTCTTAATATGGACTCTTATCCGTCATTAATGTTGTTACTGTGAGTTAGAAACAAGAGTCACTTAGATTTTTAGAGTGGGTTTGCAAAAATTACCCATTATATTTACTTGAATAGTAAATATCTCCATGTGAAAAAGCTTCTGTTATAATTGTTATCCCAAGTTAATCTTTTTCTATTAGCACCATTTGAGAGACTACTGCTTGTAACTATAACCTTGAGTTTCTATTGCTTACAGAGGAAAATCATCCCCCGTTTTTGTTTTAACGTTTCATCCTCGCAATAGTCAAGTTTTAACTCCTTAAACCAGAGAGAGAAAGAGAGTGAGAGTGAGAGAGCTACGTCTAGGATGAAAAAGTTGCCTTCACCTCCTACTCTCTCCTCCTTTTCCCTAGGGTAGATTGCTTTTTGCAAACATTTTTCCCTCTCTCAACTTTCTCTCTCTCTCTCTTTCAACCTGTTTACCTTTACAAAGCCAGTTAGCAAACGACCAGGTGACCTCGACCTATGACCGTAAGCTACTAAATAACTTTCCAGGCAAAAAGTGCCAAGAAAAACCTTCAATCTCTGTTACCTTTCAACGTTTTTTATTCTCGACATGCACACTAATTATTGATGATTATCTTTTCATTAGCTACCATCATCATTTTTCAATCTATCAATTACCATAATCATCTGCATCGTCATTTTCATTTAACTTAATCTCCATCCATTACCTTTATCAGTGTTTTTTTTTGCCATTTTTGTTTTATTTTTCCTTTTAATCTGTAGGATTAAAGGTTAATCTTAGACCGAAAATCTAAATACTCTGTCATTTGAAACTTTTTTATCATCATTAAACATTGGAAGATATAATTAGATGAATGAGAGATAACATTTACATGTTAGTTAAATGAATAAATTTATTTATATCATTTTCTCTTGATGATTTTATCATGTTTTCCTTATTAATTTTGGAGCTTTTTGTGAAAGTGTTTTCATAATTCCTTGAATTCAATTCCATTCATGTAGTTTTCTTCACCGAGGTAATAACTTTATTACATGCCTTAAACCCCATGAACCAATGCTTGAGATCACATTTTATCATGTGTGTGTGTACCTTCAAATTCAGTTTGAAATTAGTTACATCTATCAGCAATTTAAGCTTCAAATTTTGGTTGAAAGAGCAGAAAACAACAAAAACAACATAGCTTTTGATTAGGTTGCTTTTAAAATCACATGTATTGTTTACCATGGATACAGGGTATCTACTTATTGTTATTGATCAAATCTCTCCCTCTCTCTGTATACATATTGAGCAATAATAGTACATTTTATGTAGTAACAACAGCGACAACAAATGATGATGATAATGATGATGATGATAATACATAATAGTATCTATATGGTCACAGAACGTTAAACCAAAATCTTTTTTTACTTTATTGAGGCAAAAGTTTCATTCAAATGATTTCTACCTTGACATCAAGTGTGTTTATGTTTATACTGAGGCTTGATTCAGCTTATCCTGTAGATACACCAATTATCATGAGATCTAGTGAGCCGGAAAAACGACGAGCGTCTTGAAACGTTTCAAGATTATCCGTAAGATAAGATGACAGTTTATCAATATGAGTCAACTTATCTTCATCATCATACAATAAAACTCATAACCATGACAATTATTGGTTTCGACATTTTTTTTTACTCTTTTTTCATGTGGTAATCCTCATCTATTCATTAACTGGATGACTCTTTTAGTTTATATGAACAAATATATGAAGCAATTGTTTTTTGTTTGCGTAATCTTAACACGTTTAAACATGACAGGTACTCGTTTCTCTCTCATAATGAATAATATTATTAATTATTCATCTCGTTTAGCGTATTAGTCATCAATACAATCTTTCAGCACCATTATAAAGTTTACCTTGTTTCAGTATTTTTCTGCTTCCGTGCGGAAACTGAATCCAAGTTCAATGTTAAACTGAAAGTTTGTTTTTTAAACATTCACGTTGACAATCATTGAACGGTTTCTGTTGTATCTAAACAAAAGGAAGCTTTATATTGATATTTATATTTAGTAAACATGATACTAATCATGTCTATAATCTTGCGAGTTAATCATCATTAATTGATGATCATTATCTTTATCTACATTATCATCTTCTCAAATTCATGCTTTTGGTAATTAACAATTACCAGACCTCTTCTGATATGATTTCAATTATCGTCAATTATCATTAGTTTATTGATTCTATGTTATCCTCATTTTCTCATCAATGTTTATCTTTCTTGTCTTATTCCATCACCTTATCATCCTCCCCCACCATCATCTTCATCATCACCATGACCATTATCATCTCTCCATCTTCTTGTATTTCTTGCTCCTTACATGTTCATCTTCTCATGGGAAGGAAGAAATATCTTCTTCGTCTCTCTCTCTCTCTCTCTTTCACCCACCTCTTCTTCCTCCTCCGGTTTCTCTTTCCCTCTCTCAAGACCTAATCCAAAGACAAGTAATGAATGAGAAAAGATAAAGTTCCGTTGTTGTTGTTGTTGTTAAATCATAAGTCATGATCATCAAGCCATTCAACCAATGATTCCAATGGATTAGTCTGGAAACTCTTGATAAAAATGATCCAAATTATTAACTCAATTGTTTGATTAATGATTTTCAGTTTTATTTTCTTCTCTCTCTTTTTAATCTCCAATCAATTCAATATATAACAACAGTCAATATTTAGCTAATGTTTTTCTCTCATTCGATTCTAATCATTAATCCATAAATGCTTCTGGTCATGTTTTCATATCCGAATCCACAAATTTTCACTCATCTTCATCTTAACAGTTGACTGGGTTGTTTAACTAAAAGTAGATCCGTTGATCGTCATAAAAAGTAATCATTTTTTATTTGATTGTTACAGTAAGTTGATAAATCATTGATTTTTGATCTAATTATCTATACCATGTACCAGGAATCAAATGAATCAATGAGTATCTAACTGTTTATATGAACTTTTCAGATCAGAACTTTTTTCCCTGCTTTTTTTGCTCACCAACCCACAATATGAAAACCTTACTCACTATTTACTATCCACCCACTTTAATCATTTCAATCAACTAATTAATTGAATTTTCAATCCAAACAATTTATTTCATTAGCTCACTTACATTAATTTACCACCAAATAATAACTTATTAGGTGACACAATTAACTTTGACACTTGAAAACACTCACATTCAGAATTGAATTGTAATGTTGAAGAATAAAAAAAAGTTAATTGTATTAACAAGGAATCGGCAGAAATTAATCAACAATCAAGGAAAGACAAAATCTAATCTTGATTATTGTCAAGTTCACAGTGATGATATTAATACACTAATAACAATCAACTTTTTTTCTGTTGTCATCGCCTTGATAATCATTGATTAATGATTATGATAAAAATGTCAATTGTTGTATCTTAATTTCATCTCACCTTCCCAATTTGTCACCTTTTTCATGAGGTTCAGTCTTCTCACCTTTTTTCATCCTTCCTCTTCATCATCATCATCATCATCATCACCTTCCCTATCTATTGAGGATAAAGATTTCTGAAGAAAACTTCTTTTTCATAATATATCATATTCGCCGGTTAATATATAAATATCTCTCTCTTTCTTTTCTCAGATAAAAGAGAGACCGAAAATTCTGGGAATAGAAAATTGAGAAATGATGAAAAAAGAAAAAGAAATTTTCTCATTCATGATGATTATCTTCTCACCATAATAACATGAACACTATCTCTTTTTTTTGGAGGGAATACAATTCAGTAAACATCATGTATACAAATAGACAATATCTTAATTGTTTAACTTAATTCTAACTTTAAGATGAAATGGTTCCTTTTCATCACTTCCACACCTTGATGATAATATTAAGTTTAAATTGTTCAATCTCATTATAAACAATCATGAGATTTATTCAATCATAAATTGTTTATTGTTAATCATTGACTTTATTTGAAAAATTTCGATTCAAAAACTAATTACTGATTGAATTTTTCTTTCTTTCTTTTCTTTAAGGTGTTCGTACAATGGCTTATGCTTATACGATGTCATCGGGACCTGAACGTGATTCTGCCTTATCCTCGGTACGCTCAGGTTACAAAGAATGTACCGAGACCCTTTGCTTTCTTGAATCAAGACTGGAATCCATGATGGGAACATTTCACCTTCAAATGAAAGGTATCCAAGGATTTGCTCGCCTGTGTCCGGGCGATGTTTTCGAGATAACAATTAAACACAGTGAATCGCAAAAGTGGAAAACTCGAGGTAAAATACTTAAATCAGGTGAACAATCATGGGATCACCAGTCGACCATAATTAAAGCATTGATTGAAGATAAATTAACAATAAAAGCGGTAGAAGTTCGTGGTCTGGGTAAAAATATTACCCTAGGGGTGAAAACATGTGAAACAAAAGACCTTTTCTCGGCAAGGCCACAATTAATGACCATTAATTTAAATTCTGTGGGAACTTTAAAGTTAAACTTAATTATCACCTGGAATCCACTTCATACATCAACAACTGATTCCATTGGTCCCAATGGGTCAACACTAAGTCGAACCTCATCCAACTCTCTCCTTGGATCTCGGTCAAGTCTTACACTTCCCTCTCTCTTTTCACCTTCCTTCTATTCCAAGTCAACACTTAACGCAACTTTACCTCCCCCTCGAATAACCGAAATAATTGATGCCGATTATTATATCCATCGAACCCTCTCCTCATCTAATCCACCTTCATCATCATCAACAACCTCTTCAACCTCATCATCTGGAAGCGGTGGTGGTATACCTGGTATACATCACAGTATCAATGAAGCTGGTGATATAAGCATCTCAGAAATTGACCATCACCATTGTGGTGGACCTTCCCATTCTCAAGGAACCACACCTACCTCAACATCATCCGGATCTCGTGGGTCATCACTTCATCTAACAGTTACATCGGGTTTTGGCTCTGCTTCCGGTTCAGCTTCATCTTACTGTGGATCAACTTCAGTTCCCAATTCAACTTTAACAAGTCCGGAAACAGAGATACCACCAAGCTCAATGCAAACATCAACTAATGGCCATGAAAATTATATTAACAACAAAGATGATAATTACAATCATCAACAACATCTCAACAACAACAACAATAATAATAACAACAATTATACCAATAATAACAATCATAATACCAATGGTCTGACCAACGATTCCTTACATTGTTCAAAACAACAACAACAACAATCAATGATGAAATGTTCAAAATCAATCAACAATCTATGTCTCAAGCAAACAACGGAAAGACTTCTCAAAGAAATGGGAAAATCTCCTCAGGAAATAATTGTCGAAGCGACAGTTCATCAGAGTTGTTCTAGTCTTGCGACCTCTGCAACAACACCGACAACAACAACAACAAACAGTAGTTCAAATACCAGTTTGTATTCCAATAATAATATTAACAATAGTGTCAATAATATCAGCTCTCATCATCGCAATAACAATAGTTACCATGATGATGATTGTCGAGTAGGTAGAAAGTTAACTTCCTATTCATCAACCTCATTATCGTCACCATCACTTCGTCATCAACCCAATCATCAAAGTCTTCATCAACGTCACCTTGTATCTTCTCATTCACTGGCCAATGTTTACTTTAATATAAGTGATATACTTTTAAATTTAATGTCCTCTCTTGAAGATATTCAGGGTCAGTATTCAGAGATTCATTATCTTCACCAATCGGTACTTGAATTGTACAGAATTTTGAGAAATATTTGCCGATTAAGAGGATCAATTTTTTGCAATAACAATAATAATTTCAATCAAGAATCATCTTTACCTGTTGAAGATGATAACTGCTGTTTAATGAGCTCAACTGATTGGAAACACGAGCAAAGTAATAACATGATAAATAACAGAAGCAATAATAACAATAATCCAAATAGTAAATCTGAAAGGTACAAAAGGTTAGCTTCAAGTACGTCTGATGTTTCGCTGTCCGTTGAAGATGCATTAGAATGTTTCGATTTCCTTAATAATGCAGTGATCGATAGCGACGCTGAATCATCGCCAGCAGCTTCTGCTTCAGCTACACCGAAAACTCGTAAATATGATTCCAGGAACGGAATTGCTGCCAATAAATGGAAACAAAAAGGATCATCCTCTTCCAGTCATCATCATCATCTTAATCAAGTTAATTCGTCGTCTTCACCTTCCCTTGTGCGATCTAAAGCAACATCTATGGCCGCAGGTCTCAATGTTGTTGGAAACGTTCACCAGTCATCATCACCTTTAACAACAGCCTCACCAATTTCAACACCTCGATCATCAGGGCATCAAAAAGGTCGTCGTCTAGGTCACCATCATTCAACCTCAATGACAGCTCTTTCACCTTCATCGGGAACCACTGATTCAACGCCAAGTTCAATTGATTCACCTCAACCTCTTTCAACGGGCTCAGAGCAACTTGACATTTGTTTAATGGCTCATCTTAATTATTGTCAACGTTTATTACAAAATTTAGGATCATTTGGTCCACTTCGAATGAGAGAGAAACGATCTCTTGATAAACTTTCGTGCCAAGGAACAGTTATCCACCGACTTGCCTCTTTATGTTCCAATCTTTGTGATTATTTTGTCGCCTCTTCAAGATATCTTGTCCAATTATCATTCACACCTGAAGATGATTTACAACAGAATCAACAGATTCAGCAACAATTGAAATGGTTGGAAGCCCAATATCAAAATAAACAGGAAACTGAACTTTCCATTTTAAGGGAAGATTCAAGGATCCGTAAACTGTGGGACACCGTTTGTTATCAGAATGCATCTGTTGACAGTGAAGAGATCGGTTCAATGTTACTCTGTGTGACCAGCGGTCAATTTGCTCAAACCCTAGAATCTTATATGAGAGCTTTTCTTACACCATCAACCGGCGGGTCATCTACCAATGGAGGTTCACGTCATGGTAAACGATCCTCACCAGGAGGTGGTAATAATAATGGTTTAGGTGGAGTAGGTGTTTCACCTTCACTCTCAACTTCCTCATTATCATTATCATCTTCATCCTCTTCCAATTTGTCAATGTATAGAAAAGTTGCCCAACTAATAACCAACCGAATCATTGATAGTCCAATGTTTGAAAATGATTATGTTGTAACCATATTCCAAGTGGCACTCTACTTTCGCACGGAAAATTGTTCTCTTGAATATTTATTTAAATCATACGCTGAGGAAATCGCTCTCCTTGAATCTCTTTCAACCGATAATCCTGTAGCCCTTAAGCAATCACTTAATCGTTTCCGTAAAACTTTACCACCACAAGAACCGTTATTCAACATCGCCTTGTTATTACTTGATCGTGACCCACTGGTGGTTGGAATTGCGGAAACATATTTCAATGAGGTTGCATCAAATAAACAACTAAGAGTAGAGGTAAGTTCAGATTAACATATAAATAACACTAATAAATCATACATAACCCTCTCCCACCCTCTCCCTCCTTAAACCAAGTTAACCACATGAAATCAAGCAAAAAAAACCACAAAATATGATACAGATTAATCTTCAATGATGATGATCATCATCAATATCATCATTAAAAAGGTTACTCAGGTTGAGGGATAAAAAAGGATAATGAGTATTAGATGAAGTAAAAAAGTTCTGATGAAAAAAAAAGGTAAATGGTACAGGTAAGATCCTGATTCTATTGAATTTTCATCCAGAATGATTCAGAGTCTGTACGTAAAGTTGATTAATCATCAATGTTGATGAGCCTGATTATTATTATTATTATGAAAATGATGATAATGATAATGATCAAGTGGGAGCAGCGACCAGTTTTCTGTGAGGTATGTTCATTGTTGTTATTCAATAGTGTGGGCAAGTCGGCTATTCAAGGGTCACTATTGAGACTGTTGACTTGATAGAGAGCGAGTCCAGCTCATTGTGCTGCTCCACAGCCCAACAAAAAACTATTAACAGTTAACAAAAGAGTAACTAATTTAAATTGATCTCAATTAACCTTCTCATTCAAAAAAAAAACTGTTGTGTATTTAAATGTCCATGAGAAACTTTATCGTGTGTATTTGTTTTAATAGTGAGAAAGCAAAGCTTTTAAATTGTTATTGCCTGATGATATTTAATAGATGCTTAGAATGGTAAATTATAATGAATTAACTAACTAACCTTTTAAACCAGATGATAATCATTGTAATTATGATGAGATGATGTTCATTGTGTTTGTTTTGTTTTTTTAAATATTGATCATTGTTTTTATCATCAGCATACAATTAACATTGAATCTCATCACTTTCATCAAGCAAAAAACGAAATTGTTAACATTTAGCACAATCTATTTAATCACAATTAACATTTCCCTCCAATTGTATTCTATTAACGATTTCATTATATTAATTCACTCTATCAGATTCTCTGTTTCTAATTGTTAATCAGTTGAACAATTTAAACAATTTCCATTCACTTTCCAACATTTTCAATCCAATTAGAATCTAATTTTTTCTCATCATTATCAGATAATCATCAACAATTGAGCTTATTATTATTGTGATTAGTGATTATGGTTGAGATGAACAATTAACTATGATAATAATAATTGTCAATGATTTGGTGATGATGACAATTTTAATTTCATCTATTTAGTATTACATCATTACAATTAGCCTGATTGTAAAGTTTGTAATCAACAGACAATGAGGATGTATGAAACTGTTAATTGTTACAAGTTACAATAATATCATTTTATTCAATTAACTAGTTTTTTTCCTTTCTCTTAACTACATTAACCATGATTTAACGTTATTAATAACAATTTCAATTGAATTTAATTTAATTTCCAACTTTCCAATGAAACAACAATGTTAATTGTGTTGATTAGTGTGAAAACCAGAAGGTTGCAGAAAAAAAAATTAGCTTCATCTTTGATTGTCATACTTGATGGTTTCATGCTGTGTTCAATCAATTCAACTAACCATTTTTTTCCCAAGTCAATTTTTCATGTCCATTGTTAACTAATTGGAAATTTATTGTTTTTCTTTTTCTCTTTAATTATCTTCTAGTTGTTGAATCATTTTCTTGAAGGTTTGGAGGTTGATTCACGTTATGTAAGACACGCATCATGTAAAGTAATGAAAATTCTGAAGGCCTCTGAGTTCATGAAACATTTGGCATACATATCATTGGCTGATGATTGTTCTGAGGTTCGGGACCAGGCCAAGGCTGCTCTCTTCTCGTTTGGTACCTTAGGTCGTAAATTATACACGGAATCGCAGCTATTTGCTCATGGATTTATGTGAAATAGAAAAACATTCAATTTATTAGAAAGTCAACATTTTAGTTATTAATCAATTTCTTTTTGAATTATTATAATTATTTTGAATTCAGAATAAAATCAATTTGATTTTCTGAACTAATTTATTTCACTTTTCTCCTTTCATTCGTGTAAATCATTTCCATCTTGAATTGGCTTTTCTAAACCAATATAATTGTATATAAATAACCATGTATTCGGCTTTTTTTTGAACAATTATTCAACTCATCTAATCATCTCTATCATCATGTTTAGATATTATCCATGGATATGACAAACAGAAGGAACCGATGAGGAACTTGACAAGATTCGGATTTTGGAAACAATATCCTTGGGATTTCCAGGATTCTATGAGAATCAGACCATAAACATAATTCAATCTGATATATTCCAAAGGCGATGGAGACACTGATTAGGAAAAGCTAATGAGCTTCATACCAGTTGAATCATTTTCCAACATTGAGATAAATAAGAAGCTAGACAAATATCAAGATCTCTTGGAATAATTCAAATTCGGTAGCTGATTAATGATGATTAGCAGAATATCTTCATCAGGATGAGAAGAAAGTAAACCAAATATTCCAGATGAAAGAGAAAACAAGTTGCACGATCAATCCAATGTCGAGCCCCAGTCGATAGCTGGTTTCGATTTCGTTGGCGCAGTTCAAACGACTTTTGTATCTCTAATTGGTGACCAAAGTTGATTATTGTTTAGAATCAAATGTTATATTCAATAGTTTCGTCTTTTGGTTAGAGGGCATTTGAATTGTTGCTTCTGTTGAGGTTTTTCAATTATCCTTAATGATTTATTAACAATACAATTAGTGCATTCACGTTGATTAGGTTTGACTGATGGTTTAGGAGGAGTTGGAGAGGAAGAGGAAATGATAACATGGTCATCTGGATGCTGATCAACAATGACCATTGTGTTAATCTTGGAATGAGTTTCTTTCTGTTGCTAGGAAAACAATTTAAAATCGTTAGAAAAATTTTACCGTTAATTGTGTTTCTCTTGCGATTTAATTAACATACTAATTAGATGATTCTCCTTACTACTGATTGTATCATTTTGTAGCTCTCAGTTGTTGTTGTTGATGATGATGATGATGATGGTGATGGTGATGATGATGCAATTTTAATTGTGCCCATTGTCACGTTACGATTAACAAGATTTTTGGTGTTACCATTAGTTGATTCATCACAATTAGTTGATTCGTTAGATTGACATCCAAAGGATCCTTTAAATGTTTCCAATTGATTTAGGATAAAATCAAATCTAATTAAAACATAATTGAGAAAGATAAAAGATATCAAACAATTAAAAATGAAACATTGAATTTATTTTAATTGTAATCATTTAACTCTTACCTTTTTAAAGGTTCAGCAATTAGTTTTCCATCCTTAATTGTTATCGAGTCTTTGTTTTTGATACACAACGTCTATTGAGAATCAAAATGGTTTAGTGGAAATCAAGCAAATTAAACTGACAATTATGATCAAATTTAAGACAATTGAAATAATTACCTTGGCAAGATTAAGGTAAAAAAGTTGATTAATATCGTAATCAAGACCAGGAAGAAATAGATTGAGATCTGAATTATTTTGATTGTCAGAATTGAAAGACTAAAGAAATCAAATTTATATGAAAGATCAATTAGTTAACTAGAATGAAATGATTAATTAACATTCAATAACAACCAAACCTTTTCAATAATCATGTATGCCAAATAATCAATAGTTAATTGTCGTTTAACTGATTTGTTAACCAGATTTGAATTATTGTATCTTGATAATTTACACGACATTTGATCATTAATTATGTTAATTGTTGACAAATTATCAGGTCCAATTGATTCACTCGGGTTACCATGATTAGTTGATTGTAATGATGAGAAAAATGAATACATAATATCCAAGCCAATAGTTGAATAGTTGAGGAAACTGGATAAAAACAATTAACCAAAACAATCAACTAATTGTGATAATAATTTTCCAATAATTAACATTAAATACACTAACCTGAGATCAGTTAATGATTGATAAGAGTTAATTATTTTAGATAAAATAATCAATAATTGTTTTGAATTAACTTTCATTTGCCTGAGAAACTTATTATCCAATATTAGATATCGCCTAAGGGAAAATGGTTGATTGTAATTAGTGGTTATTCAATTAAATCTTAAATTGTCAATAAATTGATTCAAATTTAGACAATTAAATTGTTACACTTACAAAATTGAAGCATCAGTTGATTTCAATGAAGCCATTAAACTTTTCCTGGTAAATTTGGTTATCTCAAGCATATTAGTGAAATAATCAGATTCCGACAATTTAAGCTGCAACAATTAAGCAAAAACAATCGATTAATTAAATTATTGATTTAAAGTTAATTTGATTAATTTACCTCTTTGAAAATTGATTCAATTTCATTTGAACCAATAAGTTGATGAATATCATTGATATAATCTTTCATTGATTGTACTTGGTTAACAAGGATACTATTTAAATTACTATTAATCATTTTGGGTAAAGTTTTAATTGTTGTATCAGCAAGATGATTAACTATTGATTTAAATTTAATCGTTTCAATCGAATCAAAATGCTCCTTATAATAAATCAATGGTAGTAAATTGTGGAAATATGATATTACTTGGGAATCACAAGTTTCCTTACGAGTGATTAATTGTTGTTGATCAACACCATTAACGGTGTTATAATTGTTTGATTTAATTGAATTGTAATACAATTGTCTCCAAAAGCGATTAAGTCGAGGTAAACTGTCCAAGATTATCCTCCATAAGATATAATCACAGATAACACTGGAAAATCAAACAAACGGCAAAGGAAATTAACTTATAATCATAACAATTTGGATTAATTTTCTTGTAATCAACTTCTATTATAAGTTAATCATCATCTCAATGGATAAAAATTGATAAATCAGAGAGTCTTGATCTTATTATTGGGACCAATCGATGATAACTGATTGATTATCTTTACCTTTTATCTGTGACCGTTAAAAGTTGATCGATTTGCTTGAGCATCTCAATTGATGTAACGTTGATTTTTTCGTCACCCGATAAATTGGAACCAGAGATTATCTTCAAATATTTGGGCCATTCGATCTGAAAGATTATTATTGAGATAAAATTTTGGAACCATTAGTTTATTGGTTCTGTAGATGTTTCGTTTCCTTTAGACTGTAAGTTCATTTGGAAAATCATTTAAGGCCAACAGTTTATTTCTATTTTTATCTATTATCAGCTCATCATCATCTTTGTTCACTCAGGTAAAAAGCGAAAGAATCAAATGTTCAGAGAACATTTTTTGTTCTCTTCCTTTTTAATCACCAGTTTCAACAAGCACAAAGAATCAGGGAATTAGAAAAAAAAGAGAACAACTTGAATTCAAATCACGTTAGAAAAAAAAGTTCAGAGAATAGAGCAAAGTGACAGATTCTATCATTTCCGCATCACTTGTATTGAAAATCTTATTAATCATTCTTTTCATCTTAATCATCATCACTTCTCATCCTCTTCTTCTTTCTATTCTCACCTTGATTCTGCTAACCATCTGTCCCTTTACATGGTGAAAATTCAGATTACAAGGTAATAAGTGACAATGAGGTGGCAATGATGAATTCAGACAAGTTTAATCTGTTCTCATGGTTATAACTCTCTCTCTCTCTCTCTCTCTCTCTAGCTTGACCATGAAGATGAATTATAAGCCATTGATGATTCTGGAATAAACAAAATAAACCAAATGTTTATTCTGTCTTTTTGTTCAAAATTCTGAGCAACTGAATGGATAACAAATAAGAATAACCTTCAAACACCCAACATGTAACATGATGATGAATTTGTTCAATTTAAAAAGTTACATGAAATCACATTAAATGTTCAACAAAAAAATTCGATGTTACATCAATTCGAATTTTCTTATTCATTTTGAGATTTAATTAAATTGCTACAACAGTCAAAGAATTGATATGAAATCATATAATATGTTTACTACTTACGCTGGGAAATATCATGTTCATCTGAAATAAATTGATTGTTGTCCATTGGTTTGGTTTAATCTCTTCACGAGCAGCAATCTAAAAGTAAATAACAAATTATAATTAATGTGTAAATTATTTCAATTAACTGTTAAAAATTCAATGAAATGAAAATTAAAAAATGAACAAACTGAATAACATGATGATACTTATGACGTAGAATTGTCAACCTCATCAATTTATTTATCGCTTGCATGTGAAAATGTCACCAGAAATTCAGCTTTTAAATCTGAATAAAAATTCATGTTACAGCGATGAGTTAATTCAATATTCAGAAATATAGATTAAGAGATGAATATGATTGATAAAAAATCTCCAGGTAAAAAAATGAGTTAATTGAAATGAAAGAGAGAGAGAGAGAGAGAGAGAGAGAGAGAGAGAGAGAGAGAGAGAGAGAGAGAGAGAGCATTTGAAATTCATGAATGCTGAGAATACCAATAGGTAAACTATTAAACTCTCAGGATAAATCTATTATGTATAATGTGGATAAATCTTCATGTTTAGTTAATTTACTCAGCTGAAAATTCAATAAATGTCGTGGTGAAAGTGAAAACTATTAAAAAGTTGAGAAAATAGAGAGAAAAAAACAAAATAAATTCGATAATTGAATTAACTTGATATACTGACAGTTACTTTTTTATATTTAACAGGTAATTTCCTGAATCTCATGTCAAATAAAATTGAATTATTCTAAACAATAAGTAACGATAATTGTAAATTCAATTTACCTGTGCAAGTTTAGTTTCAAATTCTAGAACTTGATTCATTGACTTGAGGGCACTTTGTTTGGATGCACCTAATTTCAGGGCAGTGTCAATCATTATTTCATAATAACTGCCCCATTTTTAGCAATATAAGGACCAGTTGAACCCATACCAAGAGATGCAGATGAGATCTGAAGTGAAATAATATCATGAGATTCATTTTCATATTGAATTAGTGTCTCACCATCTTACCAACATATTGATGTTTTCATTTCCATTGGTGGTAACATCATTTGAATCAACTGATGAAGATGTTGATGAATCAATTGTGTTGAAAACATTTAAATCAAATGAGAAAATCATTGAATTCAAAGTTCCAAGTTGGTGAGTTTTTATCATGGTTTCCGTTAGATCGTAAGAGGATAAACATGTTGAACCAAGTTCGAGGAGAGGCCAACCGCCCATTGAATTAATCACTTCTTTTAACGGTTCTTTGCCTTTCCGTTCAATTGCATCTGAAATTCATAATACACAAACATACACATAGAATCATCATTCTGTTAATTACCATGTAATTAGCTTGTTAATTAATGGCATGAAAACGAAAAATCTAACAGAAAAGTTTACAGGGAATTCAATAAATTATCATTATGATTATTGAACATTAATTTGATTATGTACTTGATTTCTTTTTGTGTGTATGAAAAACAATTTAACTGTTTAATTACATGAACATATTATTCTGTAATTGTATTAATAATAATGTATTAATAATAATAATCGTCAATTTCTTGGATAATTTCCCTTGATTCAGTTAATATACTTTTCTTTTTACACTCTACTACATATCAATTATTGTTCATTGGCTCATAAAACTTGTATCATGTTATTTTTGATATTTCCATGGAGAAAAGAAATAAAGTTCACTCTCGATTGATGAGAAACGAATTGATTCTTATCATGAAGTTGATAATATTTGGAGTATTTACCTTCGTTCAGGCAAGATTGATAAAAGTTCCAAATCTCTCGAATAACTGGTTTCTCTTTCACTGAATAGTATAGAAAAAAAAGAATCAGGGAAGAGAAAACAAAGTTCGAGTTATAAATATAAAAAAACTTTGGAAATTCATAAAATATAGTAAGAGAAAAGTTCCAAGATGGCAGAAAGTTCCTTTGTTCTTAAAGGCTCATTTAACTTGCCAATATAAAACTCACCATGGGAAGAAGTCATTTCCATGAGAACAGCTAAGAAAGAGAAATTGAGGCAAAAAATATTCGATATTAAAAATGACAGTTTTTCGAAATTGATTTAAGATCTGAGAATTCGGAATCTTTACCATGGAAATTGTTTTGATCATCCAAGTGTTGATTTGATTCTTTAGATTTAATCAATTGGCGAGATGATAAGGCTACTGGTGTTGATGATAATGGTGATGATGATGATGATGATAGTAATCCATGGCAGGAGAAAGTGGTGAAGCTTGTACAGAATTGAGTTGATTCTGATTCAGATTCAGGTTCAATCATTTTCAGGATATCTGAGGCTAAAAGAGAAAATAAATTTTAAAATAATAGAGCTAAGTAAATGTTGTATTAACATTTATCATGAGAAATTGGAAATCAATGAATCAGGGAAAATGAATAACAAGGTAAACACATTGAATGGAACTGCAGGTGGAATCATCATCATCATTATCGAAATTGTTATTTTTTTCTCCATGAGATTCTGAATAGAATCAACTTTTTTTCTATTATTATTTGATTACTAAAAGAGCTTTTTTTTCATTCATCTTCCGTTACAATGTTATCATTTTCCATTATCATTCTTTTTCTTCATGATGATATTAAACATTGAAGATAATCCAACGAGAAATATTTTTCCATTTTCTATGTAATCATAATCTTTTCTTTTCCATGGTAATTCTCACAGGAATCTGAACATTGAGGAGTAAAAACTCCAATGTTTAAAATAGTAATAAGATTGTTAACGCTCAGAGAACCAGAGAAATTGTAAGGTAAACTGAATTACTGAAACTTTTAGAATTTTCTCTGTAGAAAATGAGATTTTATGAGTTTTCTTTAGGTAAAACCAATAGTTCTTTTTTCATCATGAGTTTAGTTGAAAGAAAGAAAACAAATCACTTACCCTGAATGATACAATTTCTGGTTAGACAAAGGTTATCAATCTTGGAATCCTCAGTATATGAATAAGAATCAGCCATTGTTGTTGCTACAAATCATGAGAATGGTAAATGCAAATCAAGACAATGAGTAAAATCAGAATTCTGAATGAATTTTTATCTACCTGTGACTGAATTTCCTTCTGAATGATAAGTTTCATTGTAAAAATTTGATTGATTTGTATTGGTGTAGTTAAGACAAGGAGGACAAGTTGTTTCAATATTTGGAGTTGAACATGAAGATGAAGATTCAGAATATGATGATAAACATGGTGGACAAGTTACATGAGGAGCTTTCGGACATTCAGGGCAGTTCAATTTCGGACAAGGTCCACACAGAGCATATAACGGATCCGATGGATCAGGATAAGTCCGTCTAACTATCCCTTCCTTGACCAGCATAAGCTTATCCTCTTTGGGCTTTAAAATGGTAACCGTTGGACACTTGTTATCTAAATCAAGTTGGAACAATCAACTAATTGCTAACTCGTTGCTATAATAGGTACACTTACGATCAGCATCAAGACTCCGTTTGGTTAAAATATAAACGATTGTCAGTAAAAAAATGGTTGCCAATAGTGTCATTGAATAGAAAGCAATTTCGAGGGCAAATCTTTTCCTATTAGGCCAATTGAATCTAAATGAGCACAGGAAATTAAGACAATTAGTTTAATAATAATAAACAATTGAAAAATTAAGTTTAATCTTACCTTCGGTTATTAACTGATTCACTCTTGGGTATTTCGATTTCAAGTTGATTATCATTCTCATCATGAGGTTTGTACAACATTTTAACTGATTGAGTTGCTGAATTTGGTGATGGTGGTAAAGTGTAACTCATTTTAATCCAATTGAACATTTGACTTTCTCGATGAGATGATTAAGATTTGATTATCCTCTAATCCAGTGGACACAAATGTAATTGTTGATTCATCTTTGTTTACAATTGTTTTCTTTCACTTCTATCAACAATTAACTCTGGCGATTCAATGATTTCTCCTCGATAGTTGCATCCTCATCATCTTAGTTGTTTAACCATCGAAGGTTAATTGTTGTGGTTTCCGATTTCTTTTTCTCTCTCTTTCTAACCAATGTATCAATTGTTTTCCATAATATATAATTAACCATATTGAGTCAATGAGAATTAGTATTAGTTAGGCTAATTGTTGTTGTTGTTTTCTAATTCGTGATTAACCAAAGTTTTCCATTGTTTGGCGAAAATTAATTTCGTTGTTATCATTTATCTCCATCTAAAGCATCATTATCACCATCATTTAAAAGCGTAACCATCACAATAATCAACAATCAACATCGGTAATTGTTCACAATTAGTCTGTGTCCTTGGCTTGGGTCAGGGTATATGTTTAGTAGTAAATAGCCAATTGAAAGTTTGTTTCCATTCACGATTTTCATTTCAATTTGTTTACTATTTTTTTCTGGTTTACCTTCAAATCTTCAATAACCTGATATCTGTTCACTTGATTATCAGGCTTCTGCTGCAACAATTAACTCCATCATCGTTGATTAATTAACCATTCAAGTGTATAAACACCAAATCAAATTCAACTGATTCATGTTATCATTACATAGACACTTTTTCAAGTATTCACCCAAAATATTATCAAACCCTGGAATCAATTAAACGATTGTAATGTCATTCAGATTAAAACAACGAGATTAATTATCGTTTCGTAACTTTAATTGGGAAAGAAACTTTTCCTAATTAACAAGAAGGAAAAAAGAAAACAATTTAAATTGTTGACTAAAAATAGAAACGTAATTAAATTAATCATGTGACATTCGTTGTCCCTTAGCAACACAAAGAGAATTTTTTTATTAATTGTTTATCTTTTTCTCAATCAACTGTTTTTAATTATTCTCGTGATTTACTCATCAACTAATTGCTGTTTGTTAATTTGAGAATTTAGATTGTGTCTTGAGTTTTTTTTGCTTCTTTTTTTCCATTGGTTATTAACCTTAAAGGTTTGTTTGTTTTCCATTTCAATTGTTGATTTGATTTTTCTGTTGTGTTAATCAAGTGATTAACTTAATTGTTATGATGATGATCTGCGGATGAAGTTGAATGAAGAAAAGGAAATGATTGATTTTCTGATTGAGAGTGAATTCAAAGAGTGAAACCCATGTTGATTTGTTTTATCGTTTTATTAATTGTTTATTTTAGATTTTAATTGTTTGTAATTGATTCATTCACAGGGAACATGAGATAATAGAAGTGACAATTAAATGAGGTTTTGTTTAATCAACACACAATTTAAATGAGATCAATCTGGATTGATTGGTGAATTCAACATCACTTTTGTTTTCATTGGTAACCACAAGATTTTCCGGAATTAAGATCAATTGGAAATTGATTGTCGGCTAATCAGTGGAGATGAAAATGAGTTGGACCATCAAGAAAATTAGATTGTATCAATTGGGAGAAAGAAGAAGAAGAAGAAGAAGATGAAGATGAAAAGTTTATTTAGATTCACTTTTTCTTCTGTTCATCTCAGTGTTGTGAAACTTTTGCTCCAATTTTCGGGTATGTCCACATGGATCATGTTTATTTGTATGTTCTTCGGCTTCTCGTTTACTTCTTTGTTTACCACTGTGATTACAGAAAAGTTTCTTGTCGTAGTCGAAATTGTATCGATCATATTTGTCAACCATATCAGTATTGGAATTCATGACTTGAACCAGATGAGAGAAGAAAAGTAAATGGAAGACCTTGGAAAGAGAAAAAGAGAGAGAGAACAGAAAATGTAAAAGCACAAAGAGATTAACAAACACAAGAGAAAATATACTGGAGGATAAGAAGATGGAAGATTGAGAAGATGAGGTGAATATTATGAGAAATTGAACAGAGAAAGAGGAAATTCTGGTTATACAGATAAAAAAACACCAAAAGAACAAATTGAATTGATAGATTTTTCTTTCTTTCTATTTATACACTTGAGTTAATGGAGAGAGAGAGAGAGAGATGGTGATAGTTTATATTCTCTCCCCTCTTCCAATCTCACTCTCATAGCTCACTGGTGAGCTACTTTGTTTCTCTCTCATTTTCCTCATCACGAGATTTCAAGTGAGAATTGATAATAACAAAAACAACAACATGATGACAAATTGAGAGAGAAAGAGAAAGAGACAAGATGAACAAAGAATCGAAAGTTGAAGGAAAAAGGGAAAAAATGATTCTTTCTCTCTGTCTACCTTTTAGTTTCTATTCATCATTTTCTTGGGTCAATCATCTTCTACAACAATTTAATCATTTTCACAATCCTTTTAGCAATTAAACTCAAATTAAATTGAAAAAATTTCTCTCTTGATTATTGTTTTTCTCCCCAACATCTGATGTGTTTTCTTTTTGCTTACTACAACACAAAATCACATAAACACATTAGAAATCAATTTCCTAAGTAAAAAACAACCAATTGATTATCTCATAGAAAAACAAGTAAATTGTAAACATAAAACCAAACAATTCAAATGAAAATTAAACATATTATTAATACATACCCAGTCAATTCGTCAGTCAAATCGAGAAAATAATTGATAATAAACTAATGAAAATAAACGATTCACAATAATAAATTGCGAAATCAAATGTAACCCAAATTGTAAACAAAAGGAAAACGAAATCTCCAAAAAAAGAAGCGCGAAAATTTAAATGTCTTAAATTACGTTTCTTCTTCAAAAAAAGAATTGACGTAACAGGAAGTAATCTAATTCTTATTTTCTCTCTGTGTAGATTAATCGCTCATCTCGATACCATCCAGTAGCCAAGTTCGAGTCCTAATCCTCCAAGTCCACCAGTTATTATGTAACTTTTTTCAAGATCGAAAAATGTTTGACCAATTGAACGATAATAAATTTTAACTTTATTTGGATCTTCATTTTCATCTCAAAACTTTCCAGAACTTCTTTGATTTGTTTGCTTTGATCATAAACCTAAACGATTCCTCAAGTTGATTCACTTGAAATATCGTTGGTAGAGTTACGACCTCCCCTGATTTGGTTCCTTCTTTGAGAATCTTAGTAAAGAGGAAATAAAGTCAAAGAGGATTCTTGATCCACCAATAGTAATTAAGAAGGGTTCGATGTTCGTTTTTACTGAGAAATTTATCGGTCAAGGGCTAATCTCATCTGAAGGTGAAAGATGGAATATACTTCATCGATTAGTTACTCAGCATTTATCTTCGATTTCGCTTTGGAATCATTCGGACACAAACTGATCTCATACAAAAATATTTAAACACTGAAAAGGCCAAGAAAGAGCAACGATTCGCAGTATTTACTTGTACAAGATTTACCCTAATCACTTTAATTAATAATTCTGTTGTTCTTATGCATCTTAAAAACAATTTAGCTTCACTTTTTCGCATCAAATTTATCCATAATTATGAACAAATTGATTACGTCAAAAACGAACCCGAATTAACAGTTAATTGCGTATTCAACTAATTTACTGTTTAATCTCCATAGGGATGCTCCAGGCTGTTCTTAATATGCGACACTGATTACAACCAGAAAAAATTCTAATTCAATCATTTGTCACCATCCTTGTCTAAGTCTTACAATTACCATATTCAGAGTAATTATCACAACCATTTAATCAACGGTTGGCTAATAAACTTAATTAGATTAAGTCAAAGTCTAATGTCATTTCCAATTTCCATCTACATGTATTCCCATTTACTCCTTGTTTATACTTGCGACTTTTTCTCGTGATAATAGTTTCTGTTTGTTGGAATTAATGAACGAGAAGTTCAGAGCCGAATGTAACTCTTTTCGACTTTGATCTGGTAGCGTTAGTACGAAACATGATTGGTTTTCGTTTTCGAAGTTTTTATTTCGATTGTTGATTTGACTTTTCTTTTGTGTTAATTAAGTGATTATCTTTAATGTTATTATGGTTGAGAATTGAATATGATACCAATTTGATTAGAGTGTTGTTTTATCATTTTATTAATTGTTTATTTTAGGTTTTAATTGTTTGTAATTGATTCTTTCACAGGGAATATGAGATAATATAAGAAACAATTAAATGAGGTTTTGTTTGATCAACACACAATTTAAATGAGATCAATCTGGATTGATTGGTGAATTCAACATCACTTTTGTTTTCATTGGTAACCACAAGATTTTCCGGAATTAAGATCAATTGGAAATTGATTGTCGGCTAATCAGTGGAGATGAAAATGAGTTGGACCATCAAGAAAATTAGATTGTATCAATTGGGAGAAAGAGAAGAGGAAGAAGAAGATGAAAAGTTTATTTAGATTCACTTTTCTTCTGTTCATCTCAGTGTTGTGAAACTTTTGCTCCAATTTTCGGGTATGTCCACATGGATCATGTTTATTTGTATGTTCTTCGGCTTCTCGTTTACTTCTTTGTTTACCACTGTGATTACAGAAAAGTTTCTTGTCGTAGTCGAAATTGTATCGATCATATTTGTCAACCATATCAGTATTGGAATTCATGACTTGAACCAGATGAGAGAAGAAAAGTAAATGGAAGACCTTGGAAAGAGAAAAAGAGAGAAAAAAGAGAGAGAAAGAACAGAAAATGTAAAAGCACAAAGAGATTAATAAACACAAGAGAAAATATACTGGAGGATAAGAAGATGGAAGATTGAGAAGATGAGGTGAATATTATGAGAAATTGAACAGAGAAAGAGGAAATTCTGGTTATACAGATAAAAAACACCAAAAGAACAAATTGAATTGATAGATTTTTCTTTCTTTCTATTTATACACTTGAGTTAATGGAGAGAGAGAGAGAGATGGTGATAGTTTTATATTCTCTCCCCTCTTCCACTCTCACTCTCACTCTCATAGCTCACTGGTGAGCTACTTTATTTCTCTCTCTCTCATTTTCCTCATCACGAGATTTCAAGTGAGAATTGATAATAACAAAAACAACAACATGATGACAAATTGAGAGAGAGATAATGAGAAAGAGACAAGATGAACAAAGAATCGAAAGTTGAAGGAAAAAGGGGAAAAATGATTCTTTCTCTCTGTCTACCTTTTAGTTTCTATTCATCATTTTCTTGGGTCAATCATCTTCTACAACAATTTAATCATTTTCACAATCCTTTTAGCAATTAAACTCTAATTAAATTGAAAAAAAATCTCTCTTGATTATTGTTTTTCTCCCCAACATCTGATGTGTTTTCTTTTTGCTTACTACAACACAAAATCACATAAACACATTAGAAATCAATTTGCTAAGTAAAAAACAATCAATTGATTACCTCATCTCGTTCTCATCGAAAACAATCAAATTGTAAACATTAACTCTTATCTTATCCTCTTAATCAACCTTAATAACTGTTTGTAATTAGAAGCCAAGAAAACACCAAAGTGAATATACCAAATGAGAATCAATTATGAGCCAAACAAATTGTTATAAAATCAATTCGAATGGAAATGAAACAAGATACTTACCCAATTCGCAAATTAATTAGTCACGAGAGAATTACTGATGATTCACTAATTAAAAGAAACAATTTAATAAAAGCGATAATATTAATAAGTCTCGAAATCAAATGGAACCCAAATTGTAAACAAAAGGATCAAAACATCAAAACAAAATCCACAAGAAATGAAGCGCGAAAATTCAAGTTCAAGAAGAGAAAATTGGAAATAATTTTTTTTTTATTCTAAAATGAATTAAACAAATTGAATTTTATTATTGATTAACAATTAAGATCAAGGTGAATATAAAGTGAAACTTGATGACTGTCACGTAATCAAAAACAACAAACTCATTAATTGTATTGTGTCAATGTTACAATTTGTTGTTGTTAATTTTTTTATTTGCTCATTCTAATCAGATTAATATGATTCTATTTTGATTGGTATCAATCAATTACAAGTCTGGTGATTAAACTAATCAAGCAATTGAATGATGGTGAAAGTCAATTAAAGCACAAAAAAATAATACAATAACAATCAAGTATTTTTTTTCCACCTAATCAAGGATAAAATAAAATGTAAACCCACTAATTACAATCGTTTTCTTGTAACAATTAGATAAGTAAGTAACTTATTGTTGTTTAATTGTTCACCACCATCATCAATATTGCTGTATGATTAACTATTAACAAACCAAAACGATGATAAAACTATTAATAAAATAGCTTAAGTTAATTGCTCCACTTGATTTGCAATTAAATCTAAAAATAAGAAAAATGATTAACTAAGTAACTAAGCAAAACCTTGACCAGAGATTAAGTTAATTGATTTAAACGATTTGTGATCACGAGAAAATTAAAAATCAGCATTGGAAACAATTGGAAACCAGGATCGTTAATCGTTACCAACGATTCTTTTGAATGTTTTCTTCAAAATGATTAGTGATTTGTTGTTGATTATTCAGGATGAAATTGTCATGATTTCCATTCAATTTCAATACCTCAATAGATCCATTTGTATACTGAGAGAAAAGAATAACAATAATAATAGTATATTAATAATAATAGAAAATCAGGAGCATGATGATAGTTTACAGTTCGACTTACTTTGGACAGTCCATAGTCTTTTAAGTGTCGATAATCAGAATTGCTTTCATCCGAATCTGTGGCTCGAATCAGAACAATATCACCATTGAACTTTCCATCAACAATTAAAGTTCTTGTTTTCAGTATTTTATCCGTGAAAAGGTCAATCGCTTCACTTATATGATTGACATCAAATTCAGTGGATGATAATCGATTGATAAACGAAGTCGAAAATTCCAATTTTTCTTGTTTCGTTTTAAGTTCCAATAGTTTCGATTCAACTTCGACTTTTTCATCGATATTAATGTACTGAGATAGACAATCCATTGTCCAATATGTGAATATTGTACTTTCATCTTTCCTCGTACTTTTTATAAACATTTTCTATCTTGTTGTGAATAATTTCGGGGGTTGAATCCATCATGATGAGATTCTGACAAAAGTTTTGACCCAATTTCTGCTGTAAAACAATGGCCACTTTAAGGGCTAATACACCACCAAGTGAGTAACCAATTAGATTGAATGTCTTTTCATCGGGATATTTGTTCATCAATGAATCTGCATAGAAATTGACAATATCGTCAATCGAGTCGAGGCTCTGACAATCTTTGGTCCAGCTGATGCCAATCACCGGCTTCGATAGTGATTCAAACACCGGAGATATCACATTGAATTGACCTGATAAATCAGGGAAGTAAAAATATGGTGCTCCAAATCCATTGTGATTCAATGGGATAAACAAATGCTGAGGAACCATGAGAATATTTTTATACTCAGGTAATGATCCAGGAGAGTTAATTTTTTTCTTCTCTGATTTTTTCAATTTCTTTTCAAGTTCATTCAATTTGCAAACTTTCAAGTCTCTAATTTCCTGAGTTGTTAATGAATAATCGTAATCGGTATCAAGAGCTTGTTTAATCTCAACTGCCATCAATGAATCAAGACCAAGTTCAAACAAACTTGATTGAGGATCGACTTTGGTTGAATCTTTTATACCAAGAATATGAAAAATTTTCTGTTTCAATGAAGTTTCACTTCCTAATAAAGTTATATTCTTGTTATCAGAAAATGAAACTATGGTGAAAAGATAATCATCAGCTGATGAACATAACGTCTTATCGAGCGATTCAAATGCTAAATTCAAGCGAATTGGCTCAAGATATTTTACTATCGCATTCGAACGCACTTTCTTTTCGACAATTGTACCAACATCACCAACTGCTCCCCATCGAATAGCCAAACCATGTAGTCCATCTAATCTTCTCTTCCTGCAAATATTTTCCATCGCCGTATTACCGAAACAATAATTGGCCTGGACAATACTTTTAACCTCAACTGCTGTTGATGAGAAACATACGAAATAATCGATATCGTAGGATAAAGATCGAGTTAGTTGATCCAAATAACGACATGCGATCGCTTTTGGTTTGACAGCTTCATCGAATGTCTCAGCTGTTTGATTCTCGAAAAGTCCGTCTTTAGAACCATAGAAAGATGAAATACTCCACCAATTTGACCCGATTCTTGTGCTTGATTAATTAATCTCTCGGTTGATTCATATGTATGACAATCTTCATTTGAGACGATAATATTCACCCGAGAGTAACCATTGTTTCTCATCCTTCCCAAAATATACTCTTGATACTCTGTTTTAATACCAGAACGTGAAGTGAGAATCAGATTAGTTGCTCCTCTTGATACCATCCAGTAGGCAAGTTCGAGTCCCAATCCTCCAAGTCCACCAGTTATTATGTAGGTTTTTTCAAGATTGAAAAATGTTTGACCAATTGAACGATAAAGTTTAACTTTATTTGGATCTTCATTTTCATCTCTCAATTGAATCAAAACTTTACCAATATGTTTCCCTGTTGCCATGAACCGAAATGACTCTTCCAGCTGATTCATTTGGAATATTGTTGTCGGTAAAGGTACAACTTCACCTGATTCGATTCCTTTTTCAACATCTCAATGAGGTTATTCCAAACTTTTATCCGACCAGGAATCATCTTGACGAACACATCATCTTGCAGAAATGCCAAGCAACAAGCATGAAACGTTTTGTTGAAATCTATGAATTGTGAATCTATTTGGATACATTTATTAATACACAAATATGAAAAACAAAGTATTAAAGTAGTAATATTAGCCCAGACTTACCCATTTTCGTGTTTTGGATCATATCATATTTGCCAATTTCGATGAAGCGACCGAAATCTGATAAGCATCTGATTGAAGCTTTTAGTTTATCATCAGAAAGTGAGTTTAAAACCAAATCAACACCTCGACCATCGGTCATCTTCATAATCATATCTTCAAATGATGTCGATCGAGAATCACCAATATGATCCTCATCGATTGAAGGAAAACGTTTCTTAATGAAGTCCTTTTTCTCTTGTGTTCCAACTGTAGTAAATACTTGACAGCCTCTTGATAGACATATCGAAATAGCTGCTTGACCAACTCCTCCTGAACCTGCATGAATTAAAACACTTTCACCAGAGCGTAAATTTCCTCTAGAAATTAAACCATAATAAGCTGTTAAATAGACAACAGGAACTGTTGCAGCTTCGGCTAATGTCCAATTTTCTGGAACAAGGATACGAGATGAATTTGATTGGATTATCGATGAAGTTGCTAATCCACTAGAACTACAAATACCCATAACTCGTTCACCAGATGAATTGATACCTGAAAACTCAATACCAATCGTTGGCTCATAGTGATCACTATCATAAAGGGGATATGAACGGAGAGGAACTCGTCCAGTTGCAACGAGAATATCACGGAAATTCAAAGACCCATAATAGATTTTTATCTTTTCATGATCTTCGATGAGCTTATCCTTAGGAATATGGGTCCAATTGCTATGATGTGATTGAAACCATCGTAAACTTGAGAGATCACCTTTGTTTTGACATCAGCATAACAAGAATTCGTTTCGATTTGTTTATCCTCAAGACTGATAAGTTTACTTTTATACAATCCAATCTCTCCATTATCATCAATTTCATTTATTATCAAATCGCTCTTCAGAACATCATCAGGAACAATTATCTCTTCATCATCTCCTTTTCTTGGATCATAATAACATCTTACATTATATTGAGGATCTTTGAATAGACACATGATTAGGCCGATTAACCCATTATCATAACCACCTCCAGTTAACCAGATTTTATGATTCTTATCTTTAGACAATTCTTTTATCTTATCAATCCAATCATAATTATTATCAAGTTTCACTCTGATAAATGTTACCTGTTGATCTGGATTAGGTGCGAATGGACGTCTCAGTAGAACTGAACAATATCCTTCATCGACCATCTCCTTGTGACATATCCAAGTGAATCCAGCATCGGTTGCGATACTTTTTAATGTTGATAAATCAAAGTTGATCTGTTGATTATTTCCAATCAACTGTTTCCATTCTTGTTCAACTGGTCTTAATTTAGTTCTCGTCATAATTTGACAAAATCCACCTTCTTTCAGTGAATCAAATAGATTCTTCAACAATGGGTCGTATTGATTGCATTTTACCTCAGGTTCGGTATCTTTGTACATGAGATAAGTTGACTTGTCACGAACAATTAAAAAATCTGACAATTTTGCTTCTGAATATTTATCAGCACTCGAATTGTTTTTTGGTTCATTCAAAAGCTCTCTGAATCGGATCTACGGTATGAACTCGAAGTCATGAATCCATAATGATTGAAGAAGTTTTCTACGCGATAGCCAGTTGACTGATCATGGAAATTGTAGAATATAATAGCGATTGAATTTTTAATCGAATTACTTTTGACGATGTTAGTTATTTGGTCAAATAAAAGAGTTTCCGGTTCATGAAAAAGATTATCATTCATTAGAGTCTCTGAATATTTGTCATAAATCTGATTCAAAGTTATATCAATGTCCAAATCACCAACAGCGTCGTCAGCTCGTTGAGATTTCAGCATTTCGATAGTTTCTTTAAGTATAAGTTTCAAGATTTTAGAAGAATCTTCAGAGCCATCACTGAACTTTGATCCATGTTCATCGTCATGATCAACAATAATATCGGATTGTTTGAGTTTCAGTCTTTCTAAAGTTTCAATCAACTGCATACACTGAGAACTGTATTCATGTTGTCTGTTAATTTCTTCTGCCATCAAGTTATGATTAGAAGTAAATGGAATATGATGAAAATTTCTAATTTGATGATTAGCAATGTTCACCTTTCTTTTAATTGCTTCACCAACTAAACCTTTCAGAATGAATCCATTCGTGGATCCTATTCCCGTTTCTTGATTGAAATAAACACCAATCCTTTTAGTAGAATCAGAACCTGATGTAACTGTTTCATCGCTGAAGGCACTGAATGTTTCTGGTGGAAACATGTAAACATAATCAATGTAAACAGGAACAATCAGCTTACGGGATTTCGAAGCCAATAACGAAACCTGTAAACAAGCATCAGAAAAGCTAATCCAATGTCCAGTGTCTTTGACCATACCCCAATCTCCATTGGAAGAAGCTTCTTCAATACCTTGGAATGATCTTGAATAATCGTAGCCTCGAGTTCTGAATTCCTTGTAAATATCATTCTTTTGAAGAATTATCTCTGTGTTTTCTTTGATATTCTTATAATCAACAGGTAGAAATCCTATTGTTGGTTTATCAACAAGACGAAACTTTCCAGTTATACAAACATTTTTACTCTCGTTCAAGTAGATGAGGAAATTTTCAAGATCTTCATTAACCTTAATTACGAACTTAACTTCATTTGAACCTGACGTAAATTGTGTTGCTCGATGAATTTGAACTTGATAAAATTCTATTGGATTCTCATCAGGCTTCATATCAAGAATTGCACAAATCATTTGCCAAGCTATATGAAGATAACCTGTTGCTGGAAATAATATTCGGCCATCTACCTGGTGACCATTCAAAAATAACCAATTTGGATCAAGAATATCGATACTTTTCGTTAGATGAGTTATTTTCTTTGAGTTTTTGTCGTATTTACCATCATACCATTTCTTTTCATGTTTCCATGCGATTAGATGACCAATTGGCTGAGTTTCTCTTGGAACTGGATATTCAATTTGATCATAAAGTGATTCAATCACTGGATTAAAACCAAAAAGATACAATTGACCAATTGCTTTATAAAGGCTTAGAATTGGTTGTTCATAGTTATTTACAGTTACTAACTTTTCTTGATTGTTAAGTAAGAAGATTGATGGTTTTAACGTCTCAAAGTATGAGCCAATTCCGATGAGTACAGAATTTGATTCAAGTTTTTCAAGTGTATCACTCAGATTACATGGTGATGTTACACAGGCAGAGAAAAATCGCCCGTCAACGATACGATCTCCGTTCAGATTCAAATTGTAAAATTCTTTATCATCACAAGCAGTCAATCTCGACGAGATTTCCAATGGCCAGAGAAACTTGTCAATTTCAAACTTAATCGATTGCAATACATTTGCAAGAAGAGATGAATTAAAAGGAATACCTTTAGTATCAATTATATTTGTCTTAACATTAGGTCCAATTGATGAGATGAACTTTTTAATCGCATCCTCGATACCAGTGACCAATGTCCAATCTTCAGATTCATTTGAAGCTATTTCAATACCACCAAAATTCATCTCTTTGATTTGTCTCCATGGTAAATTAACATAAGCCATTGCTCCTTTTCCTTTAAATTGTTTACAAGCGACACCAATATGATAACCGATTAACAGAGCATCTACATCAGTTATACATCCATCAGCATAAGAAGCAGCAATTAAACCAATCGAATGACCAATTATACCTTTGGGTTTAATTTTCAAATGTTTAGCTAATAGATCATAAAGAGCAATTTGAATTGCAATTGACGAAATTAAGAAGGAAACTAAATCCTGTTGATTCGATTCGATAATTTTGATAACATCAATTCCCAATGAACGCAAAGAGTTCGATTGTATTAATCTTATTCTTGAATAGATCAAAGGAACTTCCAACAGTTGAATAAATGATTCTGAAGAGACATTAAAAATTGGAGAGAAAATGAACCAAATGGACATTTCGTCCGTTGTTACATTTCGTTTTAATGTATGATGAGTTATTGTTTGTTCATCGTCCAACAGTAAATATCCACGGTGATTGAATCCCCTCGATGAGCTGATCTTACTCATATTGTCCAAAAGCGCCAAAGTGTATTTCGTTAATGATCCTTTTTGATCGGTGGCAAATTTAACAATAGCTTCCAACCCTTCATAAGTTCGGTTATTAAAGTTCACCAAACGAGGTATTCTATTAGAGGTTAAAATAAGGTCAATATTCTCCGTTCTTTTAGAATTTGCCCGTAAAATAATAGAAGTGTTAACTCCACCGAAGCCGAACGCATTTACCATAATATGATCTCCATTGAATCTTGTATTTTCCAGAATTGGTTTGATTACTCCTTTAATTAGTCCATCGATATTTGGATTTGGTTCCTTGAAATGTAAATTAGCAGGAATTACTCCAGTTTGGAAAATCTTAATGACTTTCGAGATCGCATTTAGAACGGCAGAACCTTCAGCATGACCAATATTCGATTTTAGGCAACCAAGAAGTAGAGGTTTGTCTGAATTGGGTCTCATTGATTCCATTAGCGATTTACATTCAACTGGATCTCCAGCCTTAGTACCTGTTATATGGCCTTCAACATAATCAATGTCTGTAGGATCTAAGTGAATATCTTTAAACAATCGTTTAAAAAGGTCTATTTGACCTTCAAGCCGTGGAAAGGTGATACCTTCTTTCGTGAAACCATCGCAATTCACTTGCAGATTTAAAAATTCTGCATATATTCTTTTAGCATGAAATTTACGTTGGATTAAAACCGCAACTATATTCTCAGATCTAAGGTAACCATTGGCACTTGCATCTAAGCATTTTGATTTACCATCACTACTGGTCATTCCAAATTCATTGAAACATTGAGCGATAAAAGGGAAAAAGCAGTGGTTATGACCCAAAACAATCGCTTGGTCACAATCACCATTCAATATGCTTCTTGTTGCAATATCGAAAGCTGAAGCACCAGCAGCACATGCAGTGTCCACCTCAAGGACTGGACCCTTGAAGTCAAACACATAACTCAGCCAATTTATGCTCTCAGGGCAACCTAATAAAATTGGGGCCCCATCAATGTGTACAATAAGCCGCTCACTAACACCAGCGAAAATACCTGTTTTTGAACCAAGCCAACTATCAGGAGCGAAACCTTTCGTTTTGTTCATAAATACAATTAGTGATTTTTCTCAAGGTTAAAAAGAATTAAAAAAAACTCACCAGCATCAATGAACATTTCGTATATAACTTCATGCATAACACGAATTGTTGGAATAATTTCCGATACAGTTACCGGAGGTAGTTTGAAAAATTCTGCATCAAAAAGGTCAATATTTGGAACCTTCGCTAACCTTTTAGGTACATTAAGTATCGCTGATAATGGTAAAGAAAGAGAAACGGATGGAATTCTTATTATCAAACATACTAATATATTCTTAAAACGAAGTTTAAAACTTACTGGTTGGCCATCTTCGGTCATCAATAGTAGCGACATCATGTCCATTCACCAAATTAGACCAAAACTCTTCCAAAGATCGAGACTCAGGGTAGCGACCAGATAAACCAGATATAACCAGAGAGTTGTATGGTAACAAAACCATGATGATATCAAACTGATTAGATTTTTAAGAATTGGTGAAAAAATTATCTCGATATTTTTTTCAAAAACTTGTAACTGTGAAAATCTTTTGTAGAAATGGTAATTTAACAAATGTACTAAATATCTACAAAACAATATAAATGTTTAACGAATATAATTAAGTAAATTCCAAATCAATAATTTCTCTTTTAATCGTGAATGAAAATTTAATTAAACTTGTATTAGTTTTATGACCATCACATTAGTTGTTTAATTAAGTCGATAATTAAATGTAACACTTAAAATCAACAAATACTTGTTGTCGATATTGTGAAACACTAATTATGAGGGACGAATTCACCAAACGAGATTTAGCTTAACTTTAAATTGCATTTACTAAGCTCAATTTGACTGTGCAATTAATCAGAATTAAAATTTAATTTGACATCAGATCCAAGTGCGTATTTATAAAATGACGAATTAAAATTTTCATTTCATCAAACGAAATTAACAATTTGTTTTAATTTCACATTATTCAATGTGTTTGATAATCAAAATTGGATTGTTTTCACTTATGGCATCGTGGCGGGTAATGTGGTCACCGACGTTAAAATTTCACTGGAGAAAGGAGATGCAAGAACTCTCGAGCTCAATTTTATTAAAAATGGAAAAATATCGGACGCAACAACAATTAATAAAGAAATGAAAACAAAATTGGAAAATAACACTTCAACCTCTAATGGCTATCAAACATGTGGGTACTCGTAACATGAAACCGACAACTCGAAAAGTTTGGCCGTAGCAATAGTTTGTTGGAGCACATAGGAAGATACCAGGAATTCAAATTCACTGCCATCATTGCATGAAATCATTTAAATCCCTTCAAAGATCTCAAGGTCACTTGATAAACATTATACTAACTGTTATCCTACAAATTTCTTTAAAGATATTAATTCATTGTATCATTAATAATAGCAACATAAGTAATAATTGCAGATCAGATGCTTAGGCAATAAATCAATGTTTATTTTTTTCTTAACAAAATGTCTCTTTGTGACGAAAATATTAATCGATGTACTGCAAATGGTAATAATAAAGATGATAACTTGATCTATAGCTGAACAGTTTAGTAGTAAAAAACAATGACCTCTGAAGTTCTCATGTCCGAATTTCGTCATAGCAAAACACAGACAAATTCAAAGACTTTGAGAATAATTTGAGCAGTGTAATTTATAAGTAAATGGATGATAATAATTTTCATGTTATGTATAATCTACCATAATGATTACCTGTAAATTATCATTATGCTAAATGAAACTATCTTTTATCGAATTCACTACAGAACTTTCCTATCCTGCCTCTTTTTTACCTCTATAAAAATGTTACAGTTTCTTTTTTATTATATTATTTCATAAGGGAAATGATAATAATGGTGGTTAAATATATTTCAAGACAATTTTGTGTTCAACATGAAATTTACCAGCACATTAATATTGCAGAACCTCAGCTATTATCATCATTATCATGTTCATCGTCATGAAAATATCTTCCATAAAGAGTTTTTATAAATGTAAGCATTGACCAATGAACATAAGTTCGAGACGAAATTCATGTAATAACAATATGTTAACCAGGTAAAATGGAAAGAGAGAGAGAATAAGGATAAATGAAATTTCAAGTTAGAGTATCGATCGAAATCTCTAACATATCAAAACCGTAAGGTGGCTCTAGTGATGTACTGTATGAGTGAAGGTGAGACTCAGTATTGGAAGAGCAAGTGTGAGATTGAGTATGAAAGAGAGAAAGTAAGGATGATAAAGGATGATAGTGAAAATGTTCTCTAAGACTCTCATTCAGTTCTAGTTCTAGCACTCGAATTGCTGTTAGCAAATCTTCCTCTATCTCTTTATATTTATAGAAAATCATTCAAGTTGATGAATATTAGAATGTTCTGAAGAATCACCATGAAAGCGAAAAAATTTTCGAAATTTATAACTATTCGAAAGCTACATCTTCTAATCTCATCTGTTATCATGACTCACTCAGAATATTGTTGAATCTCAGAATTGTAAGATTATGTTACTAAACTTGTGAGCTCATCAATTCTGAATGATAAGCAAAATGTTTCCAAAGATTTAAACTCTCAACTGGATATAATTCTGTTACATCATCAACATAATCTCTAAGTTGAACGTTTCATCTCTTTGTTTTGAATTAGATTCAGATTCTCCTGAGAGAAAGTGAACAAAAAAATTTCTCTCAGTATTTCTTATTCAGTTCATGCACAATCATCAATGAACTTTTATCATGAAAACCAAAGTGTTCCCATTGACATCTAGTGAAAAACAGCAACAGAAAAGTTTAAATTTTTATCATTACTAATTGTTATCGTAAGCCAATGGATTAAATTTGTGAATTGAGTTAATCTATTAATCAAAGGATTATTTCATTTGGATTCATCAACATATCGATTTGTTTTTCTCTCTTTTTTTGTTAAATAATCGTAACCTTTCATATCAATATCGAGTTCCGGGTGACTTATTGTCAACCCGAAAGCTAAAAGGATCAAAATTTCACCTTCTCCGAGTGCCAACGTTTCCTTACATCATCCACATTATATGACTCGAATCGAGGAGAAATCATTGAGAAGTTTATCCTCCCAATCGCGGGAGGCCATTGTGTACATAGCGGTAAGATGGACTTTCTCTTGTGTGTCATACAATTTACTAGGTCAATAGCCAACCTTCAAAAACTATTATGATGTGAAAAACGTGATTAAATTTCATCAAGTTCAGATTGATTTAGATATCAATCATTTAGGTTCATTGAAACTCATGGTATTAATTTCAGCAGAATCATTGAAACACTAAACCTTGAATGATACACATTATGATTATCTAATCATTTAACAGTTCGCTCTTTGTCTGAGATGGTTGATTCAGAATTCATTATGAGAATAAATTTATGATTAGAAGTAAGAATTTTCTAGTTATTTTCCATGTAAACTTTTTATGATAATGATTATCAATGGAAATCAATTCGAGTTGAGCAAACAATTTATACTTGAGATTCTTAACAATCGGTTGATCATCATCTAAGAATCAAAGATAAACAATCAGAGGGGAGGAGGAAATCATGTTCTCCATGATGATGACAAGTATCATGGAACATTGTCATTACTATTACATATAATAATAGAAAAAGTATTTATGTTCTGAATTCAAGATGATCACAATGAAAAGAACAGGGAATCAAAATGAGAATAAGAATAGAAATTGATTGAGAAGATGGAAAAAGAGTAAAATAAAGAATAGATTTCGAGATCTTGAGAGCTAGAATGATGATGATTATCATCATGATACTCTCATGGTGATAAAAGAGAGATGGGAAAAGTCAATCACAAAGATGGAACTCAAATATTCCCTTAGGTCCTATTGACTATTCTTTGTTATCGAAACTTTGAGAAATAATAATACAAAGAGAAAATGAAATAACATGATCGTTATCAGTTCTCATGTGAACAGTTATCATCTTGTAATCATTTTCGTTTGGACAAGATGGAAGAAAAAAAAATTGTTCTATTTTGAGGAAGAAAAAAACTTCCAATGGACTCTGATTATCATCTTATTAACAATGGGATAGATGTTAATTGTTACCATTCCATGTGATCAATTGATTATTTATCTCAATCAATTCTCATGATAGTTAACCAATAATTTAGTTAATCTTCAACATTCTGTTGAGTTAATAATATCTCAGTAATTGATAATGAGCAACATTGTGATTATTAAATGTCAACATACTGTCCAAGTAACTGGAAACAATTAGCAAGTTGATTATCTAATCATGTGTAGTAACTATCAAGATGACAGATTCTAATTCATTAATTGTGAGACTATTCAATGTATCACAATAAATACTGATTAATTCAGATTAGTTTGGCCAATCTAATGTAATGGTTAGTAAATTAAGTTTCAGCTTTACCTTAGACAAAAATAAGTTACTTGTATACAGGTAACATTATTGTGGTCAATTAATGGTCAGTTGGTTCAGTCTTTTATTCCTAAAGTTATGTTGAAACAATTTTCTAGAAGGATTAACAGTTAATCCAATCAAACATGGTAAATTTAACGATTAACTTAAATCTCTGTTTCTAACATGATAATATAAACCTCTGAATACTGATGAATCATGTAATATTTACAACTGACTGACCATTGTCATGATTCATCTGATAGACTACTGAACAGTCAAGAATATGAATCTAATAACCAATAAAGTTGAAAGTTTCAATTTGGATCAATATCATTACAAAGTGATTATCTTTACAAACTATTGGTTAGATTAAAAAAAGTTGACCAGTAGAGTTGATTAGCTGACCAACTAACTGAAACTCAGTAACAAATGGTTAATGAAGCCTTGAACTTTTTGTTTCTAATCGTCAGCATAAATTAGTTGATCAATTCAATTGAATAATTTGATTACTATGAGTGTTAAAATCATCATCATCATCATAATTAACAATGTACATGTACATGTTGTAGTTATTATTATGGTTCAACTATTGATTATAATTAAATTTCCCACTCAAAATTTAAGCTTTGATATTGAAATTTATGTTAATTGTGGAGATGTAAAAAAAATTAACTGATTACGATTAAAGTACAAATGTGTAAACAATTTACCGTCAATCTGATGAGTTAATCAAAGTATAGAGTAATTTAAATAAAGATCTGATTAACTTTTAATTAGTTTTAATGGTAATTTAATCAAAGTCATGATAATGGTGATTATTATGAATTAATGAACAGTCAATTTCAATTAACTAAAAGTTAATTGAAAGGCTGATTTTGATGAAATTTAAATTTGAAAATAAATCATTTCCCTGAAGGTTTATCGTTCTAGTGAAAAATTCAATTCAATTGAAATTGAAACTGAACAAAAAAGCTTAAAATTGAACTTTAATCTTTTAACTAATTGTTAATCATGATGACTAATGATACAAACTAATTTAACAATTCATTTTCCATTTCATTTCATTCCAATTTAATAATAATAATAATTCACTTCTCAGTTGAATTGAGTTGTGTTTCAAAATCATCAGGAAGTTTGATTTTCGACAAGGAGAAGGAAAAAAAGTTTCTAAAGTTTTTTTTTCTCATTTTCTTTTCAACTCAATTTCTTTGTAATTTCCAATCCATCTGAATCGTAACCATGAAAATGATGATTGTCACCCAATACCTGAAACTTTCATATTAAGGTTACATTAGGAAGAAGATGAAAAAAATTCATTTTTTTCTCACCTTTAGATTCACGATGAATCAAGTATTTTTATCCCTGGTTTCATGGTTGCCTGATAATCATGAATACATTATCATGAAATTTCATCATTATTATATAACTTAAAGAAGAAAAAAATTCATAACCATCATCATAATCTCTGTCATGGAAAATTTTCCATTAGACTTTCCTCTCTTTCTCTCTGTCTTTTTTTCACTTCTCTCTTTCTCTTCTTTATCCTCACCTTATGAGATGAAACTAATTTCATGGTGGTTCAAGATATAAATCTTCTTATTCCTTTGAATATAATCTACATGTGATAAACTTTTAATCTCTTTTTTCACTTTCCTTCCTTCAGGTTGTCCTGATAATATACATAGTGGTTCTCATTGCTCTCATGGTTCGAGCTTCGCCCGTTTACGAGGAGAAAAAACCTCGTCGACGAAAAAAGCGAAAATCTCGACATCGTTGGAATGTCCTTGGAAAATGTCAAACTCTTGTTAAATGGGAAGATAATAAAGATTGTCCAATTGATCCAGAAATGGGATTAACTAGACCAGTTAATCTTTAATCTAGGAAACAATAATAACAACAATATATTGAAACCACAAGAAATCACAAATGTAACTTATTCCATGAGAGCTCAACACCCAATGATAATTATCAGATTCATTGGTAAAATTATATAACTACAGGAAACGTACAAAGAATATGAATATCAATATGAGTTCTTGTCATTGTTACATTGATTTGAGATTTTTAAAGAAAACTAAAGTTCTGTGTCAAGTAAAAACTCTCGTCTCCATGAAAGTAAATACCCTGAATGTATCACCCAAATTCATATGAAAATAAAGAATATCACAATTTTGAGAGAGGTTAAAATTTCTTTCTGATCGGAATTGATGTATTTAAAGTTATTTCAATATCCCCATGGTAAATATCCGAAACTGAGAAAAGTTCTCACACAAATTCTGAGAATGACATGAGTTGTATTAATAACTCTGTCTTTGTCAGGAGAGTGGGTGAACAGATGGGTGATGGTGATAAAAGTTCTGTGAATATGGAGAAAATAATTTTTCTCATGAAGAAACTTTTCACCTTCATTAGCAGTCTAAGTACATATCTCCCCTGTAGATTGGTGATGAAGAAGAAGAGGAAAAAAAATATATTAACATGAGCAACAAAATGAACTTCAGATTGAGTTGGATCACATTTTCATGTTATTAGCAATAAAGTTTTTGTGTTTTTTCATCATATTACCAGGGAAAAGGGGATAACGTTTGAGATAAAGTTTCATGAAAAATTACAGTCGATACTTGATACATGAATAGGGTGTGTGTTTGCTTACAAGTTTCACAGAACTTTGCTGAACAAACTAAATGAGAAATTTTTTTATAAATTATATTACAGTTATTATATTAATCAACATTTTCCAATGTTCCACTTTTTTCCCGATGTAATTTCATCATAGTTTTTATTTTGTTGCTTCGTGACGATGATGAAGATGAATATGGAATATGAATCTTTCTTTTTCTCTAAAATAATAAAATAACAAAAATTGATTTCGATTTGGTTTCCATTTCTCTGTCAAAATCGTGATGAAGTTATGATAACAGATTAGAATGTCAAAAATTATATTAATATATGCTCGTTAATTGTTGAAATTTTCATTTATGTTCATCCATTTCTGGATAGGAAATGTAATAGCTGGGAGTCTTTCCGTTTCCATTGATACGGTTAATTGTCCCGGTTGTTGATGAAATCATTTTAATTGGCACTGGACGAATTGTTTCACTTCCGTAATAGCTTAAACTTGGGCGTAATGTCCCTGTACCATTATCGATACTGGGTACATAGCATGAGTTACAAGCCATTGGCTTGAGACAGGTACAGTTTCCATGTCCACCGGCACTGCGTAAGGTTGCAGTTCCTAAATTTCCGCCATTACCAATAATGTTTTGTCCGGAACCAAAACCATGATAAGCAGAACCATAACTTGTGTCAATGGTTGATGTTGATGATCGAGCTCTAATTACACAGATGATTAATATAAGAATACAAACAAACGCGATAACCCCTGCGGCTATACCGATAATCATAGTGTCCACTTTGGTTAAGGCTGTTCGCCTATGGGTAGGATCATTGATTCGAGGTTTCAATATTCCTCCTCGAGACGATGACGATGATGATGATGATGATGAGGTTAGATGAGGTCGGCGACTTGATTGGAAGATGATCTCTGGTTTTCGTGATCCTGACGATGAACCATAAACTCCACCCGTTTTTCTGATTGTTGGTGAAATCGATGTTGGTGCTTCAGAAATTATCTCCGGGGTGGTTGATGAGACTGATGTTGAAGACGATGAGACGGATGATTCCACAGATGATTCATTGAGTATATCACCACAGGTTAAATCTTCGGGTGTCAACTCGATAAGACGATAACCACTCAATGATTCTGGACCTGCACAGGTCAATTTGTCAATTGAATCGATTGGTAAATTGTTATGAAACCAATTGATTTTTGACATTTTCTCGGCTAACCATTTGTACAATGGTTCAAGGCTACAGTCACAAATGATTGGATTCATGGGAAGTCCAGAGATTTTTATATTTGTCGGTTTATTGTCCAGTGTGATCAAAAATTTACTGTCCAGTGAGGTGATTTCATTGGATTGAAGAGCAAGATCAATTTTAGTGGACATTGGAAGTGGACTGAACAGATTACTAGGGATGAGTGAGATGGAAGTATCTGTTAGGGTTAAACTAAGTGTTGGACTTTTAAGGCCACTTAAACATGAAGGAGAGAGTGAGGTCAACTTGCTACCCGTTACAAGAATTTCGGTCAAACGTGGAGAAAAAGCTTTCTGTAAGTGACCCTGAAGATGATCTTCTTTAACTTCAACCCCAAGATGCTCAAGTTTAACAGGAAGGTAAGCTAAACACTCTTGGACTGATAAACTTTCCAATGATGGATATCCAAACATGTAGAGAGTTCGTAGATTACCTAATGATGCCAACGAATCGCAATCATAGCTTTTGAGACTGGTCAGGTTCGAGATGTCCAAAGTTTCCAAGGAGATTAATCCTTTGAAATCATCCTTACGAATTGAGGTCAATGGATTACCATTTAGATTTAGAAAACGAAGCTCATTGGCTGCAGGGGAAAGTCCATGGATTAAGTTACTTAGAGATGAAAGTTCGTTATGAGAAAAGTCCAGACTTTCGAGGAGAGCGACTTTTTGTAAGGTAGTGGCCTTAAAGTGCGTAATGTTATTACCAGAAACATTGAGGTTCCGGAGAAAAGGAGTTTCCATGATTGGTGGTAGCCCGTTTAGACCAGTTAAGGCCACATTTAAATTTCGTATACTCTTAGGCTCGGAAAGTAATGAACTGATTGCTTCGGAGCTCAATGGATTGTTAGAAACATCGAGTGATTTAATGTTAACCATTAGGTTAACATTTGAAGGTAGAGAGGTTAACCTATTGGAGGATAAATCGATTGACTGGAGATTTAAATATTGATGAGAAAGTGAATCAAGTGGAAAGTGAGTGAAATTGTTTGATGATAAGTTAATTGTTTCCAAACGATTAACATAAGACCTTGAAAACATTTCTCCAGGTAAAGTTGTTAACAGATTAGATGATAAATCGAGACGTAATCGAGCTAATCCCTTAAAAGTTGCCCGGTCAAGTGAACTTATTGAATTCTGTGAAAGGTCAATAGTTTGAAGTAAAGTTGAATTGGAAAATGAATTTTGACCAATGTAGGTAAGTCCATTAGATGAGAGGTCAATGGTTCGTAGTAGTGGCATATTGGCGAAATCAGATGAATCAAGGGAATGGATTTTATTTCTCGATAAATTGATGCTGGTCAAATATCTGAGTCCAGTTAATATTTCAGCGGGAAAGTAAGAGAGTTTATTTGAGGCCAGATTAAGGATTCGAAGTCTCCGATGACCAGTGAAACTATTGGGGTACAGGTAAGAAATACTATTGTCAGACAGGTCAAGATTCTCAATGCGAGTCCGGTGGGTGAAAAATTCGCCCTTAAGTGAAGTCAATCGATTAGAAGATAATTTGAGAGTTCGCAGAGAAGGAGTTTCACTAAAAGTTCCAGGTTTAAGAGTGGACAGTTCATTGAAGGAAAGGTCAAGTTTTGAGAGTCTATTGAGTCCTTGAAAAGTGCCTGAGGAAATTTCCTTTATATGATTACGAGATAAATTAATAACAGTGAAACTTGATCCATTGGTGAAAGATCCTTTATCAAGTTGTTCAATTAAATTCGAGGAGAGGTCGATAACTTCAAGGTGAGAGTTACCAATGAACAGGGAAGGTGGTAGAAGAGTAAGAAGGTTATATGAGAGATTGAAGTGTCTTAATGAGGGAAGATCAATAAGAGTATCAGATTCCAGAGTGGACAATTGATTGGAAGCCAGATTAAGTATCATGAGACGAGGAAAGGCTAATTTGGAGAGGGTGGTCAGTTCATTATGACCCATATCAAGACCTAGAATAGCCTCAGAAATGGGATCAAATAATTCTTGATTGATTAGGGTGATCTGATTACCATGAAGGTTGAGAAGACGAAGATTTTTGGATCGAGTGGCAAGGTAAGGGGGTAAACTGGTCAGTTGATTGTAAGCCATTGATAATTCATCGAGAGATGGACCAATGGAGATAACAGCTTCTTCTGTTAGCTCATTGATACGATTATAATCGAGGAATAATTTCCTTAAACTGGTCAATGGATACATGAGGTGAACTGGAAATGATTCCAATGAATTATCTGTAAGGTCAAGAGTTTCCAATCTAGTTAATGGAGCAAATAATTGTTCCTCTGCAAGGTCCAGTTTTCGTAAGGAATTGTAGCCCAGATCAAGAGTTTTCAATTTGGGAAGTCCTGTGAAAACATGACGATCACCCAATGAGATGAGATTGTTTCGAGAAAGGTCAAGAAGTTCAAGTAACGGTAAATCTCCAAGGCCAAGGCCATCTTTTTCCAGGGTTTCAATGAGATTTGAACCAAGGTAGAGTTTACGAAGTTTTCGAAGGCCATTTAGAGTCTCGGTTGGTACATTATCCAATAGGTTAGAGGAAAGGTCAAGAGTCTCCAGTGAGGTTAACCCTTCCATTGAGCTTGGTTTTAGGTGGGTCAGCTGATTGTGGGCAAGGTAAAGGTCAGTTAGCTGGGTAAGGTGGGAGAGTGAACCTGTTGCCAGGTTTGTTAGCCGATTACCGGTTAGATTAAGGGTTCGCAGGGAACTGGACAGTGAGGGAGGGAAACTGTGAATGGTCAGTTCGGTTAGACGATTAGATGCAAGGCCAAGTACCTTGAGGGTACGAAGAGATGATAAAGATGGGTAAGGTATTGTTGTAAACTGGTTACCATTTAGATTTAATTGCTGCAGAAAGAAGATTAAACAAAAAAAAAGAATAACAAAATTAATGAATAAGTTATGAGAATCTAAATATTTGCTGTTGATTATCATTATCATCATGATCTTTATCATGATGACCGATGGTGATGAGGGAGTGAGGAAGAGGTTGAAGATGATAATCATGATAAGATTTAGAAATTCATGAAATTATCATTAAATTTAATCAACAATTAACAATAATCATGATAAATGTAAAGGGTTGGGCTTAAAAGGCTTTCATTTAGTTATTATTTTTAGTCTCCAACTCATAATCTGGATTAAAATTGGATTAATAATTGAACATTTTTCCTCGATTAAAAGTCAACAATTGTCATCTATTAATCGTTAATATTGTTTGTACATTGATTCAATTAAGTTTCATTTAGATTAACAAGATTATTTGGTTAATTAACTTTTCATCATAAAGATCAAGATGAAATAAACTGACCTTAACTAACTTTAATTAACAAAATGATAACAATATAAATGAACATTCATGATTCTGATATATATCATGAAGTAATTAGCTAATTGTAATTAATTATAATCTTGGGTCTAATTAAATAGTGACAACAAAAATAATAGACAATTAAAACAAAAGCACAAGATACAAAATGATACAATTAATTATCTTGATTAATATTTTGATTGGTAAAAAAAAAGTCAATTCAAATTACAGTCTCATTAACAATCAGGTCAATTGTATTATCCAACAAGTAAACCACAACTAGATTAAAATATTGATGTCAACAATTTACTTGGTATCTATTACAAATTGACAATTAAAAACCAATCAATAACCATGATTGGTAATCATCAAAATACTAATCAACTAATTGTAATTTGAATGGTGTTTAAAAAAGTTATTACTATTATATGATAATCAAAGTAATAACATGGAAACGGAAATGAACAAAATTAACCCAAATAGTTGAAAGCAGTAAATGATGAAATTAAATCATCGTTGATTACAAAGTACCGATACATTGATTAGTGTTAATAGTAAAGTTGACAGGTAATTAGTTAAGGTATATTAAAGAAAAAGTTCTAATACCTGAAAACTAATATCATGAATAATGAAAAATCAGTAACATGGTGAAGATAATGTTACAGTTTTATCATCGTATTAACATCAATAATTGACATGAAAAGTAGAAAAATCAATATCTTTATCTGAACCATCTCGTTTCATGATGAGAGATTAAGATGAAGACACAAGAATAATGAGAAAATCATAAGTCTTTCGTACTACAATTGATGATAACGATGATCGGCTTTGAAACAAGAGGAGGATTAATTACCTGGAATGATGATAATGGATGAAAAAGAAGACAGGAAAACACGTTTCATGGATCATCCTTTTCATCCTCATCTTTCATAGAAAATACAATTGATAACATTGCAAGAAAACCATCATCATCATCCTCAACAATCTAGGTTAACCTGATGAAGATAATGAAACATCATGAAGATGATGATCATCATCTGAATGAGAGGTAAGATATTAACGTGAGAAAGTTACAATTCATATTCTCAGAGAGAGAGAGAGAGAGAAATTAATCATCATGTAATGTAACCGTTTAGTGAGAAATGATTACTAAATTGTATTAGAATACGACAGTTACAATCAACTTTATCTCTTTATAATTTTGTCCAATTATCATTTGAAACAATTAACCATGAAAATCTGAAACTTTTGATCCAATAAACATTTCAGTTTGTGACTCTATTGACTTTCAATGTAATGACAATTAACTTTAATCCTATTACATTAAAGTAACTTGGCAATTGGATAAAAGTAACGATAATTAAAGCAGCAATTAACATGTATGTAGGTGGAAGATATCTAATTACAATTGATTAATTCAAAGGTGTATCAAGTGAAAAGTTACTAATTACGAGAAAACAATAAACAATAAAAGAGCCTGTTAATTAAATCAACTTCAATTAACCAATATTAAAATTAATTACATAAATTAAGATGATATTTGTATGGAAATCAGTAAGTTAAGACAATTAAGCTCAATGAACATTGTAACTTATACAATTAATAATATGTATTAGTAATATATATAGCTAACTTTGGGACAACAATCAATTGATTATAACTCAAGTTCTGGTTATGATAAATTTATAATTTTTCAAATGAAATAATTATTAGGAAGTCAATTTGAAAATGAAGAAATTTTTTATATAATTTCATCTAATTAATTATTTATTAATTATTAACATTGCATAGCGATAAATTCGTCAAAGTTTAAGGACAAACGGCTTTTTGATTTACCTTGCTACAGTGAAGGGTCAATTTTATTTTTTTTGATAGTTCCTTAGTTATTTCAAAGATTATGCATTAGTTTTTGTTGATTTTTGATCTTGAGACGTTTTAAGGCAAAAACGAAATAATGATAAATCGAACGTTAAGTTCGTATTTTGAAATGACCTCAAAATAAAATAATAAAATTATTAGAAAGTTAATTAAGTGATAATTAATTATTTGGACCTTTAGAAATGCCTAAGTAAATTTGTTTCTCGTTATTCAAGTTCATGAGTTTCAGTGTTTACGAAATTTAAAATTGGCCTCAATTGATAATAGAATGGTGTTCAAGAAATTTATTGCCAATGAATGAAATGAAATGGACAATTATTATGGTACATTTAAAAATTCTGTAATTCCTCTTTGGTAGATTTTTGAAGTCAAAATAGTGACGATGTTAAATACCAAAATTCATTTGACTAATGGGCTATTCTTTATTGTAAGACTTTTCAAGAGGAAATATTAATTTGCTAGGTCGACAATGCATGTCTAAGTTTTTTATTCGCCATCTGAAAGTCAACATTAGAGAAAAAAGGCCATTTAGCTGAATTCGAATTTTGGTATTTAACATCGTCATTCTTTGACCTAAAATCTACCAAGAGGTGCAGAATTTTTTAAATGTACCATATTATTGTCCATTCATTCATGTGGCAATAAATTTCTTGAGTCTAGGCCATTCTATTATCAATGAGGCCAATTTTCGAATTTCGCAACTACCGAAACTCATCAATGAACTTCGAATAACGAGAAAACAAATTTTAGGCATTTCTAAAGGTCCAAAGTAATTAATTATCACTTAATTAACCTTTTCTAATTTTATTATTACTTTGGTCATTTCGTAAAAATACGAACTTAAGGTTGATTTATCATTTATTTCGTTTTTGGCCTTAAATGTCTCAAGAGGAAAAAATCAACAAAACAATATAATCTTGAACAATTAAGGAACTATCAAAAAAAATAAATTGACCTTCCACCAGCAAGGTAAACCAAAAAGCCGTTTGTCCTAAACTTTGACAGTTGATCATATGCAATGTTAATAATTAATTAATAATTAATTAATAGAGTATATAAAAAAAATTCTCTTCATTTTCAAAACTACTACCAAACTATTATATTTCTGAAAAATTATAAATTTATCATAACCAGAACTCGATTATAATCAATTGATTGTTGTCCTTAAACTTTTGCCGAGGACTGTATATATTTAGCTAACCTAATTGGGTAACAATTAAGAATGAAGATTAAATTTTAATCAACTGCAAGCTTAATTATTTTTACGAATATTATTATTTATAAAGTGAAATAATTATTAGAGAAAATCAATTTGTATCATTGAATAGAAACAAATTTAAATATTTTCATCTCATTAACTTAAATTTAAAATTAATTACAATCAAATTGTTGCAAATAAATTGATTCTATTCAAGAAAATTGAATGGATTAACCAAATTAGCAAAGTGTTTGATTAGCATTTGCACATGACCAATTTAATTGTTACCTGATGATTTATATCTATAAATATAAATTCAATTTAACAGTATCACTTTTATTTCATCTAATTAACCTTGATTGTTGTGATCAAATTGTTGATTGTTGATGGACGTTGTTTCCTTAAGCGTTATCATATAGATATCTAAACGTTATTTCATTGATTAGTTGATTCCCAATCAAACTCAGAGGCAATAAAAATATCAACCAATAAACCAGAAATTGATTAAAAAAAAGTGTCACCAACTTATCATATTGATGAGATATTAATTGTAATGAGTAAAAAAAATGCTTTCCTGATATGAATTAAACTGTCACCAGTGTCAATCAAATGTTACATAACAAGTTTAACGTTGACACAATTTAATATATTAATCAACAGAGGAAAAGACAATCTAACAAATTAAGGGTAATGATATTTGTTGATTGTTGATTTTATCATGATGGTATTACAATTTAGCTGATGATAATGATGTAGTTGAATGGTGGTTGAAATATCAACCTGATTGTGATCATGATTAACCTTGAACTTGATTTACAATTTAACTTTTTTTTTCGTTCAACAATCAACATGCAAACAATTTGCATAAATAATAATAGTACAAGTACAAAAAAAGGTTATCATTATATTCAATCAACTTTGGTTAACCATTAACGCGGAAAGAAAAACAGTTTTTCGTTAATTGTTGATGATTATTATGATTTAAGAATGAAAACTGTTGTTGCTGTTAACTGATTGTCGTTGATTATTACTTTTTAAACAGCATAATCATTATCATGATCAACATCATTATCTTGATTGTTGAAGACATTAACAGCAACAACAACAGTTAACAATCAAGTTACTCCTCTTGTTTATGCAACCCTAGTTATTATTATGACAATTTGAGCAACAATTTTGTCAACTATTAAAAATAACTGACAATTTATCAACAATTATCCGGACCATCAGTCCCTGTCCAATAAATAATTGCGACAATCAATGATGATGATTCGTTTCCCGGAAGCAAAAGGTAAGGTCATCGTCACCATCGTCACAATTGTTATCAAGACAAAACAAATCAATCAATGTTTATGATCATCTTTACGCGTCAACTCATTAATTAAATGTTAACAATCAATAAGTATACATTGCTTTGGATTAGGTGATTAACTCAATTGATATCCATGCGAGTTAATTGTG